GACCCTGGTGTTGAAAAGCTGTCCATGGATTCACTGAAATATCTGCAAACCCTATTTACGAATCAGAAGCACTGTCTTTGCGAGTGGGCACAGATGGAAGAGACAAGTGGACGAGGCTAACATCTTGGAAACACGTGCACCAACTGAGGGAGACCACAGAAAACGAGAACATCAACTCAGAGGCCGACAATCCGTGTGGATTTCTGATGATCGCTTCTGCATTCCTTGACTCAACGGCCGCTACTGCAGGCGAGGGCATGCGCAGCGCAGCTTAACATTGGGCCTTGGTTATCTACTTGGTAGCCATTGCTATGTCACGCGTCACAAGGCGCTCCCACAGCTTCATCAATGCGCTCTCATGAGGCAGGAGTTTTTCGCCTTAAGGCGCGTTCCCTCATCTACGTACTGCTGGCTCAGCAACACTGTCGCCAAAACCTGTTTTCTCATCATTTGGGGCTGGAAACCACCCGTTGGAACTTACCAAATAGCCTCTTCCCCCTAATACACCAGTTGTTCGGTAAACCAACAAGTTTTCCCAAGATTTTTCATGATAGGATCAACGGTAGCAGCAGCGGAAAATGCAGCAACAGAAGCCGTGAGACTTGCCGCTGCTCCCAGTGGGAAGCTTAGAGAACAGTTCACTGCACTGTTACTACGTGTGTCTCCTACGTATGTCTAACTAGGTGCTCACACCAACTGCTGGTATCTATTATCTATGCACAATCTACAATCGTTCTATTTAATCAAATACTAATTTCCAGTACATATTCGAGTCCCCACTATTAAGGCAAAACCCAGAATAATTGAGAGGGCCGGAGTCAGGACCGCTGCGTCAGCCCCACGGTCAGCCCGAGCCCCGTGTATGCGAACGAGCCCTTTCAGTTTCATTGACCTCTTTACCACCTAAAGTGTTCCAATATTATAAGTATGTTTACATTTTAATTGTTCCCTTTCGTGAAGCTAGACCTTTAAGGTTGCTACATGAGCTCTATTGTAGTGCGTGTGCACTACAGAAGCGGCAACTCTTGCTGGCGAAGCAGAAGCAGGTGCAACAAGAGAAATACCATGTAACTCAGCTATTGAGGGTTTCACATGAATGTCTTCTCTAGCTGGGGGGGAGGGGGCGGGGAGGGGGTGTAGCAGAACACCGGCATTGGCAGTGGAGACTGGGCACCATGTTGGGACCATGCTGAGAAGCACAGCGCATGAAAACGTTGAAATAATTTGCTGCTTCATAGTACATAGAAGCTTGGTGAAAAAGATAGTACCTCATTGTTTGCGTTTTTGCAACGGTAAGGACGGTTCCCGAAGGCAAGCGGGCGTCTCTGAGAAGCATAGGCAAGCGGCGTTTCAGGCATGCGAAATTTCATTACCCTAGGAAGCCGGTTTAGGCTTGGAATCTGGCTGTTGCGTGGGTCAATAATTGCCTTTTGAGGTGAAAACTGCCTTTCTTTTAGCTTCTAGCACATCGTCATCTATCATAACACAACGGGAAAACACACGACGGGAGGTCAGCTAGAACTGGAGAGGCGCAAAGAGTTACCACAGTTCAACTGATTCCAGCAAATGCATGCAGACAGCACTTCCTTTTCGATCCTTGTTCACCCGCCGTTGCCGGATTCTGTACACGGCATAGGAGCTTGTACTTTGTTCTTTCTTAACTGCAGCGTTCAACTATTCCAGATTTCTTGCTCTGTCACGCCTAATGAAATCATGCCTTTCCATCCACCTGCTTGTCTTCGCTGAGTATTTTTCCTCCTTCGGCCACCTCTTGGTGCTGTCGTGACCCGTACACATTAGCGCACTGATGCTGCACGCTGGCAGCAGCTCAGCGCATATTTTCAAAAAGGTTGGGATGCCGGTGTATGTATGGATGCCAGTACCAGAAAGCGGCTCCAAACCCAATCGAATGACACAGAGTGCCGCCAAGGAGCACAGCCACGAGCTGCGGTTAGCCAGAAGTAGTTCCATGGCGAAGCCGCATCCCCGCATGCCACTTGCTGTTCTCCCCGGTATTATTCTTCCTTTCCTTCTTTGCTCTACGGGACAGACAACACATGATGATGCGCGTTGCTTGGGGGAGAGAAGGGACCATATATGGCATAGTCTGTGTGAAGTTCGTAAGTGCACGCAGGCTGGCTATGGAGGGCCAATTTAGCATCTAACCGCTGGCTACACCGTTAGCGCATGTAGCGAAGGCGGTCTGGCTGTTTCTGGGGCAGCCTTGTACCACTTTTTACAGCCATATCCGTTGCAGCTCAAGTCAGCCTGCCTTTCGCCGCAGCAATCCCACGTGTAGTGCACAGGCACTACCATGGCACTTTGGTGTGGCCTCTAGAGGCCTAAAATCAGGAAAAGGAGCGAGTATTGTAGAATATTTCAGAGATTAGGACACTTTTAGATAGGAAAGCAGCTTTATAGGATCAGAGTGGTCGCCAGCCGGCACCAGCTTGGGGCTGGGTGCGAGGCTGTTGCTGCGACCCCGGCCCACGCCCTAGGCGAGGGTCGGGCATCAGTTCTTTTGTTCTGGTTTCCCTTTCGGAACAAATTTTGGAACTCGATGGTAAATTTGGTAGTTGATTGTGTTGTTAATGGTTGCAGCGGGAATATTAGTTTTTGGTGTCCGGATAGTGTGTGCACCTATCCTGCCTACCTAGGGATCTATCTTGGTGACAGCGTAGGCCAGCTGATCACTACACCACGCCCTTTAGCAGCTGTGCCCAAGACCCGTAGTGGGTGGAGGAGCAGCTTAGCTGCTTTCGGGCAAGCAAAAAGCACCTGCAAAGCCTTTGACTCTACCGCAGTTCTCATCTTTCCTCAGCTATGACCAGGGAACTTCCCGACAACCAGCCACCCAGCAGGTGGTGGTCTCGCCCATCCCGAGGGCAATCATTGGGCCATCTGCACTTCCCTGGTGCAGAGATGGCAGACTTTAGATGCCGATGCATGAAATATTTTCGCATGGAATATTTTCGTATGCACTATTTAAAACACAACCACATACCTGAAAAGCGCTGTACATCTCGGTACGGGGCGGGTTGGCAGCCAACGCTTGATTCCTTCCACCATGCGGCCTTGCCATTTCGACCGAGATGCACTGGCCCTTCCGTCGGGCTGTGGTGACTGCAACAGAGTGAAGGCAATTTGGTACCTTCCAGAAAGCAAGGCTTCTGCCCTACATTCCGCAGACAGCCTGACCACATCGGTAGCGGATCCAGCAGCACGGGGGAAGCCGAGTTTGCCGATCCTGAATTGCACGACCCTTTGCCGCGCCTCCGCCCAAATAAGCAAGCACAGACGCTGCAATTTAATAGCTTGTCTTCGATTGGTAGCGAGCACAGTAGTCAATTGCTGACTACTGTCGACAGAGTCTGATGTGCAGGTTTTAACGCTTGAGACCCCATAACCCATGAACGGTTCAGGGTTTATTGCACAAGGGAAGAGTGGTCCCAATTCAGTTTTACATAGGACGGTCGTACATCGAAATTTTTACGTTGTTCCTGCCCAATTCAGTGAGTGGTCGACCTCTAGTTCGCCGTTCAATGACTGCATATTACCGTTGGAATAGTATTCCCTTTCGTCCCAATCTGTATGGAAGGCGCAACTCATTGTCTGCTGGGAACCGCTCTTCCACTCTAAACTCCAAGCATCCAACATAGTGATTCCTCTTTTGGGGACGCATTTGTTGTGTCATTGCAAAGAAGGGTGTATGCTGTACCCGATGCTATAGGTGCCAGTGAATACGTGCATGTGGGGACCCACCGTTATTTCTTCAGGTTCAGTAGATATTAGCGGCATACGGCCTTCATCCTCCCAAGAAAAATAGTCTTATTTCCTCTCTAATTAGCTCATCTTTATCAGCGAATGGACAATCTTGCTCGCTTCCAGGCTGTAGGACAAAAAAGTGTTGTTGGCCTCTCCCTAGCTAAGCGCCCAGGCGTCGTACCGATTAGCCCAGCGAGAAACGTTGCTCTTAGTGACCCGCCGTCTACAAATTAGAAATTGCCTGACCGGTGAGTGCCCCACCGGCTAGCCACGGATGGTGGATGGTGGATCTGCAGAAAGCGCGACACTTACGGGTAGCGTTTGAAAATGGTGTGCAGCAAATTTCTCTCTTGAGGAACTGAAAATATTCGGGGATAAAGGCAGGGACCTTCCTCCATGAAGGTACAGCCGCGCTAACGAACACTCGGACGACCCCGTAGACTCCTACTGAAGTTCTTATATTGCAGAACACGCACATCCCACCGCAAGTAACAAACGATACAAAATTCCGACGCAGAACGAACATGGATTATGTATCGTCACCAGCTGGCAGTTGTCTAGCGGTGAACAGTGCAAGCTGCAGAGGAAGGCGGCTGAACTTGTAGTGAACATCCCACAGCATAAAGAGCGTTCAATACAACGACCAACAAGTGCACGAACGCTTGCTCATGTTCTGAACATGACAAGTGACAGCTCTTGAGTTCCAGGGAAGGTCCCTTAATTTCCTACATCTTTCCGCCCACGTCGCCGCAGTTGCAACGCGCACTTTCACGTGAAAGTGAATGAAAAAATAGAATATCTATTGTTACAGTGCCCTAGAACCTCACCAGTGACCAGGAGAACGAAAAGACAGTTTCGCAGTGCAAAAACACACTCTCTAAGCCAAATCGAAACACAAAGTTCCTTCAGTGCGTAAATGCAGGTACCAGTAGCCGACTACGCAGACATTCATTCTTAAAGTAGGAGCGCAGCTGGAAAAGTTCAAACTAAACCTGCCACCTTCAACAACCTGCGTAGTGGATTCTGTGTTACATTTGCGCCATCTGATGCCGAAACAGCAACTCCGACCACTGTCTTGTTGCCCTCTTTCCATATGCATTCATATCTGCAAGCACATGCTGCATCTTGTGCTTTCTAAAAGTCTTTCTTATTGAGGACTTTTCCACATCGCATACTGGTCTGTCCTAAGCATGGAATCCCAGTTACAATGGGGGAATGCCTACTCAGTGCAAAGCTTACCGCCTGTACACACGAAAAAACAAGGCAGCATGCAGACACTATTTTCCTAGCACACCTCCAACTTGCCACGACGCAGCTTGCTGCTTATTCTGCTACTGCGTAACGCCATGCATCTTAGACATACATGCACATCTTCAACAACGGGCCAGCCCCAACCAGTCGACCAGAGGTAAGGAAAAGCCAATCCCCTGCCAGTTTTTCGTAGCTTCCCTCCAGGATAGCAATGGAATGCGGCAGAGGGACGCGCACAACAGAAATCTGTCGCTCAATAGATGCGTAGCTTTGCCACATTCCAGCATTTCTCACTAGTTAGCCTTAACGTCGACAGTGGCAGCTGGTTCGATCTGCGCGTGCCTAACGCATCAAACGCATGCCGTCCGTGGCAGATCAACGAGGCGTCGTCGTTTTTGCTGTTTGTCCAAACGCACCGACGAGCCACCTGGTCAGCGTCTGAACCCACCCACCTTCACAGTCGTGCATTTCCAAGTCGCTAGGCTTGAGACAAAACAGCAAGGCCTTCAGAGTAGTGCTACTGCTACACACTTCGATTATGTTCTTCCTCAGTAGACGGAGTTCCGCATTCAGCCACAACTTAGGCATATGCCTCCCTACACGGCTCCAATTCCCACACCTCGCAGTACCCAAACGGCCTGCTCCCAATGGATAGTACGCTCCCGGTAGGTTCCATGGGAAGGCAGCATGCAGGCCGCGAAGCACAGCTGGGAAGCATTCTGTGTCCTTTTGCTGCAACACAACAGGCGCCCCACTGAGCCAAAGTCATGACGCTCGAATGAATGTTTGCTCTGCCTCCCCAACGCAGTATCAACACGCAATCCTTCACAAATCGGTTGATCCTTCTATCCCGTTGGCGAAGAATTCATCGCTCCTCCCCGGCATGCAACCGCCTCTTCAGATCAGCAGCAGTACCGAGCGGTGCGTATTCTCAAATACAAACGAAGTCTCACAAGACGTTTCGCTTTGGCGCATTCTTCACTCCGTCCAAGCAGTGCGGACAGCCACAACGGCGGTTTTCCTGGAACGACTAACACGGAAAGGAAGAGTTGCTTACTGTCCGACAGCTCGACACTGAATCATCGTTTGGCACTACTCCACAATCGATGGCCATCAACAAGTGCAGCCTTGAGGTCCACCGCCTGCATTTTGCAGCACAAGCCAGATAGATACCTGACACCAGCCCGACGCGTTGAGCGCCCAGCGTGCACCACCATCAAGCCTTTCTAACACTCATCCGAGACATCACTGTTCCAGGTCAAGCTACTGCGTACACAACTGCCTCTGTTGATGTTTGCGGCTGCGGTTAACCCAGCTCATCGTATCAAATCAACCTGTTCAACATAGAAGACCTGTCGCCCTAAAGAGGGTAACCAAGGTAACACGGCGACGGCCGTCGTTTTTCTCTGTTGCCGCAGCAGGCATGCTGGCCCTTTAGCTGCGCGGACTTCGCTTGCGTCAACGTTTGCCCGACTTCAACAAAAAATTAGCAGGCAGCCCTGCGCCGGTCGGCCTACCTTTCCAACATTTCGCAGGAAATCGCCAATAACAACGTGTCAATACAGCGTGTGCGTTTCGCGCCCTGTATCGGCCTCTGCAAGCAAATAAGACTGTCAATACAAGCAACCGTTTAAAACGGCTTACGCTGAAGGTATCTGTTGCTTGCTCTTCGTGATAGCTCAACGACGTCGTCTCAATTGTCGTTGGTCCAAAAGCGTTAGCCATCCACATGTGCTGCCTGCGGATCCGCCGCTTGCCCGATGCTCCACGCAGCTAGATACCAGCCAACCACCGGCCCTAATTCTCGAAAGCCAGTAATTCACCTTCACAGAGCTTTTCTACCCTTCGCCCGAGAGCATGGTGCTTGCAGATGAAGCTGCACGGTAAGCAGCTGCCTCTCTCAAAGCCTGCGTTCCACTCAGTTTATACGATCAAATATATTGCACCTATTCCACATGAGAATACCAGCTGCTCCAAGGAGAGCAGCAGGCAGCAAGCCCGTATGCAGGTCACAAGCCAAACCCCCAACGGAGACTGTATCCTTCTCCAATCGCGACACGAAACGGTGAGCATTCATCTGCCGGGATTCAGTTAGATCTACCTCCCCGAAGGACCGCCAACCGCCCCTCCACAAGTTCGCATACGAACCAGCCACTCCCAGCAAAACTATCCACCGCCTGCTATTCCTTCCATAGCATCCATGCACGATGGGATCGGTATGTAGCGGCTGGATGCCGCAACCACGTTCACGCTACTCATGCAGTTTGCCACACCGCAGTGTCCCTCAGCAAGCACACGGTGAAGTTGACAGTGGCACCCGTTTAAAACTGTGGGCGCCCAACAAATCAAACGCTCACCGCCAGTCACAGGTCAACGACGTGTTTTCGTGTTGCAGCTTGCCAAGGCGCACTGCCCGTCCAACTCCACAGCATCCGAATCCTTCTCTAACGCTGTGCGCCTCCTCTTCTATGAGCATGAGACAAAGACACAACGCCTCTGGCGGCCTCCATCTGCCACATACATTAATAACGCTTTTCGAAAACATACACGATTGCACGTTCAGCCGCACCCTACGCAAGTGACACAACGAGACGTCTTCGTTTTCGTCGCTTGTCCACGAACCCTTGGGACCAATGTGAACAGCGCCCGTTCCCTCCGCGCCGCTCGACACGCAAAACGTTAGAAAGTCGAGGGAAGTGCTTGTCCCTGGACCAACCTACCCTGACGATTTCCATGCGGCATGCATATAGACAAGGGGGTATGCGCATTCCTCTTTCCACGATGGATTTCCGGTCGTTACTAGGAAGCGACGCAGTGCATATTACATACACGCTTGACGCGAAACCTGAGGCCCATAGTTGGGAGATTACAGGGGATAGGAAGAATTACAATTCGTACGTTGGGTGTTAAACGCGTTATGCCTCCATGCACACATCATTCATTGCTTTCTGAATATCGGGCACCCCTCAGACTACCTCCAGTCAGATGCAAGGAAAAGACGTGAAATTTTCCGAACAAAAAGAGCGCTAGCGGGTCACCTACAATCAGGCTGTTGGCAAAAATTCAATTAGATAGTTGTCGCACCGACCTGGCCGATAGCCGCCCAATAGTGAGCTCATCTTGTGTGTGTTTGGTGATCCTTTTTGAACTACTCTCCGCTTGCAAGGCACCCTTTGGTTGCTTGCCAACCGCGAATGCTTTTGAAGGCATCTCAAGGATATCTACAACGTGTGTAAAAGCTTCTAGGTCACAACCAAGAAGCTTTTACACACGTTGTACACCCCTGTCACCCCTGGTGACAGAGATGTGCCACTTTCTCAAAACCTTCTGCCACTGACAAGTTATGCGCAAGCTTCAGTAAAGGACTCCACCAATTGCCCTCAATGAATACATCAGGTGGGAAGCAGGTTCCAAATATACAGTTTGACCTTTGAGCGACTCTGCCGCAATGCCTAGAAAGGGAAGGACTCTCCTTTCTCCTTTTTCGAACAACTCAGTGAAGTCATAACTGGAGGAGAGGCTCACTGCATTAACTGAGGTTCCAATAAGCTTTCCACAGAGCAAAATCTACACTTTTGTGAGAATCTACGAAAAGTTTTGAGCTGTGGTAGACTAAGAGCGGGTCATTCATGGCTTGCAGTAACTTCAAACTGTGTGAATGAGTGATCACTCCCTTACAACCGTTGTATTGGACGGAGATACACAAGTAACATGCGCCTGCGCTGGTTTAGATTTTGTAGTGCCTCGCTGTCCCTTACGCACACTTCTCAAGGGCGTCAATGCAAGCAAAAAATGAGGGTTGGAAAGTGGGGTTGCCTCTTGGCCGCATGAGTCAGTTCGCAGAAGTGAACACAAAAATGTACTTGTTTGCATAAGCTACTGCGCGTGCCACATCGTCGTAAGGACAAGCTAGTCAAAGTAAAAGATCTTGGTGCGTTTGCTGATTTTGTCGAAAGCGGCGAAAGGATGAACCGACGAATTCTCTATTTGACTGTATCAATCTTCCTCTATTGCGTAGCATGCAGCCAGTTCGCTATTGTGAAGGGAGCTAACCAGGGTTGCCAAGCTACAGGTAGACTCTGGCTCAGGCCGGCGCATCAGGAGAACTCACACGGAGGACAAACGTCACAATAGTTTGGACCAACTTCTAATTCACTGCATCCAACTGGCTCGCCTGCATTGCAAACGTGGCGCAGATATTGGTGCATCCACCCTACTTCAGGAATATGCCGCAGGCTGGGGCAGAGGGAAACCGTAGTAGATTTATGGCATTCCTCAGCATCTCTCACAGTTGTATCTGCAGAAATTAGCCCGCAGACCGTTGCCGCGGACTAATCCCTGCCACTATTTGTTCTCGTTGCGCACTCTCTACAAGATCCACATCGAAATCCAATCTCAAAGTTCCACCCGCAAACTATATCATTTACAGTACGCAGTCCCAATATATGATGCGGTTTCTTTTTCCTTCGCCGTCCAGAGAAATATTACATGCGAGTGGTAACGTCGGGTTATTTGGCCACCAACATAGGTGGCTGGGCACTATAAAAAATGCAGTATCCTCCGTACACGAACTTACAGACTTTTCGAGCCATAGAACCGGTGGGAGCTCACGGGTATTCTTGCACTCGAGGGCGTGATGGATGCCAATAGGACTACCAGCCATAATGTACCCAATTTTTCGTGGCAGTTGGACTCAGAAGCCGCACTTGCTGCTAGATAGCATCTGCAAAGAGAAGTTTGCCTTTCCAAGTGGAACATCTACTGCTGATACAGCTATTGCTCCCCCGCAAGATCTTGTACGAACTCATGCCCGTGCGTATCGTCCCTAAACGCACTCCCTGGTCACAGGTTCCTGATGTGAATTTGATCTCTTTGGGGGGGGGAGCGCAAACGCAAAGCTGCTCACGATCCCGCTTTTATTGCGAACCTGGATTGGTGCACATTTGCAAGACTGAACCTTGGGCCAAAACTAACGTTCTGGACGACAAAACAGCTTCAAATCTGACTTTAATAAAGTGTTTCTGTTGTCCAGCACTAGCACGCACAGACGGCAACAGAACCTTCCTGACACAAACCGGTGATTTCTCCCAATATTACCTTACGTTGTCGTAGGCAAGCATATATATATATATATATATATATATATATATATTATAGGCCTTCCGTTGGCAGGGATATATGGCATCCCTGGTAGCAGTTAATTTCAGCAAAATTTCAGCAAAGTCATAAAGCCCGTTTTAGTTGCATAATCAGGCGAGCGCATTTCTGAATTACGAATGAAACAGATGCTTCGCACCCTGGTCTCGGTGCCTCAGTGCGGCTCCCTGTGTACGGTCAAATTGGTGTGTTGTACAGTAATATTCTGGCTTTCGAGTGCATTGCCACAACTATGCTGGTTGCTATCTAACCACCTCCAGAGACCTCCATTGCTAGCCTGAAACTCAAGCGTTTGCGGGACAGCTACCTACCTCCTGGACAACCGTGTACGAGGGAGGTGGACGGCAGGCAATATATATGAGCAGAAAATCATGGCCTAACTGGCTGTATAATGAGCTGGTCCTACAGCATTGTGGTCATTAATGATACAAAGAGGGTAGGGTATTAATCCGTCTAGGAATGGGAACCCCGCAGCCTGCAGCGAAACTTTATACTGACTCCCATGAGACATCACACAGCCCGAACCCAATATGATGCTGGGAGCGTATTAGAGGCACAAACTGAAATTTTCCGATTAAATTTTCTCCAACAAAACTTAAACGGAGGCAAGATCACAAGCTGGGTTTGATCATTTGCGCATAGTTGCCAGCCGCTAGTACAAGTTGCAGATGTTCTTTTGGGTGTTCACATATTAGACAATCTGAATATGCTTCCTACCGCTTCCCCAGTTCACCGCGAGAAGGTACACCGACAGTGATGCCCGTTCGCCCAAAAGCCACTTGGGTAGTGCAATGCGGCATAGTTCACTCATCCCGTCAGGCCCTCACGCCCTACCTGATCTTTGTCGCATGCATCTCTGTGGATAGGCGCACACGCTTCCCCATTTGTTGAGGCTTGGTCGTGGAGCTAATGATTGCATTCGTACGATGGAACGAACTTAGGTGTGAGGCTTGTTTTGCGTAGGAAAAAGTCAGCATGTGGCTTTGCCTTGCCTTTATAAGGGAGTAAGGTGTACGCAGGTGTAAAGCTTGTTGACACGTCACTCTGCCAGGGTTGTCTTTTCCTGCCTGATGGTGCGTGAAGTAAAGACCCTGTTGCAGCCAGCCTTGGGCTTTGTTTATCTCATATTCATGACCGTAGGTGGCGAACAATCCGGTGGACGCAAACATTTTTGGTACAGTAAACGTGCATTGACAAGATTAATGGATTGAGGTGTTTTGGTGTGTCCCAAAACACCTTGGAATGGTCTATGCATGCCTTTAAGAAACGCCCTAAAATAGCAGATTAGTATACTCGAAAAAATCCACTGGCATGCATGTGCAACGCGATGAAGCCCTCTGCAAAGTGGAGCGTTACGCACATGCTAAATGAAACCATTTCGTGTACTTTTTGTGGGGTAGGGCTTGTACGAGAGTGCTGGTTGACCTCCGGAATTAATATGACTAGTAAATAGCTCGCATTCGGTCTCATTTTTGGCTGTTAGTCAATACCATGTAGTGCTTGAACTCCAACTCTGCATTGGCAGCCATAAAGAAGTTCGAACAAAGATGGAATCTACGCAGCAATCCGACAGAACTCTTAGAGTGAGAAAACGTCGTCTGGGAAACCCGTTAAGTCCAAGGGGCTGTGAGGTGCACATTTTTCAAGCTTCATTTCCTACTCTTCACGACGAAAACCTGGTATGACCAGCTGATACCAGCGGATGCATTCATGTACTGCGTTCTACATTTGACGGCCGACGCCGGCAGCCCAAAAGCTTGGTTCAGAACTAAATCAAAGCAGGTGCTTTCATCGACGAGAATGTGCTAGTCCCTGCATATTCACTCTATACGATAGTCAGTAGCTTCCACTGCCTCTTTTTGCACTGTCCTTCAACACCAGATTACGGGATAGAATACAAACCGAAGTAGAGACTCAAACTGAGTAGTGAATTCCGGCTACTGCCTGTAGTCGGCATGCGTACGGAAAAGCGGTCTCTTTAAAGTCGCGCCAAAGAGTCACTGTTCGCTTGGTCTCATTGCTGCAAAACAGAGACGCAAGATAGAAATGCTACAGAATGAAGCTGCCCTCCGCTAAATGGTACCAACGCCAATAAGAAAACGCACCCTTTCTGGTTCAAACACCCCTGGGCAGTTTTATGCATTATCAGATGGCACCCGATTGTTCCGCTTCTTTCGGTGCTGAGCAGCGAGCTGAATGGAGCAACAGCACTACGCAGTATCTGACAAAATGCTGAGAGGAACAGTTAACTCTCACCAAGCACTCCGTCTTATGCGTCTGGGAAGGATTCCCATGTCGTATAAGAGGTGAACTTTTCTGTGGTTCACCTGCACATCAGGAACCCGTTAACGTAGGCGTTTTCTTTGTCATAAAACGAGCTTTCACATTTTTGATGTGCTCGGAGATAATCTGCAGGCGGAGGACGTAGCGGGTGAAGAAGCGTATTGGCGCAGTGTCGCTTTCTATACAAGAAAAGTGTCCCCTTATAAAGGGAATGAGGCAACGCCTTGCCCAAGTCACTGTGGCGCATGTAAAGAAAAAAGCGTGGCGCGGACACTCAGTGAAAAACATCAACATGTGTAAGCCAAGCGACGCGCTTGCTTTGGCGCTGATGATATGAATGCAGTGAAAGATGCTTCCAAAGGAAAACGAAAACAACCAGAACAGGATCGAACGGACAAAACAGTACGGGGTAAGGTATGTCATTACCGTTTAGTGACGGTGCTCCTTGAAATGCTACGGAGGACGCATTGGCAGCGCTCTGCGAGGTGAACCGTCGCGCATAGGAGGCGAATCCTCCTTCACAAGCTTGGCCTTTCCTTCACTTAATGCTACCTAGTAAAATAAAACACACAAGCTGCGCACCCCATGTATATGCTAAGCTCATTGGAAGGGCTGCAACAGATTAAACAACGAGCTTATTAAGGGTTGCATGTGGGAAGTGGAAGCGTTGTCGTTCCAGTTAGAGAAGGGGAACGTACAAGCTGTGTGCCACATATGCGCGCGAATTTGCACCAATACGTTCCACTAAGCAAGTGCCGTCAAAGTAGCCTTTTAACGTGTACCGGCACTGACTCGAGGGTGCCTGTACGTGAGCATTGAGATTACTTCGCCATCCAAGGTTGGTTCATGTGGGTCGCCCTACTGCAAGCCAGATTTGTCCGCGGAACGAAACCTTGAAGAGCGGCTGTGAGGCTTCCTTTTTTCGTGCAAGAAACTGTATGTAAAACCGGCGGCTCCATAAGCAAGGGCTACGCCATGTTTATGGGCTTGTGGCCTGTCTGTTAGCTTTGTGCGGCGTGAGGTGAGTGGTACGCTTGTAAGCTGTAGCATGCTCTGCCTAGAGTTGGTGAATCTGTTGTCTCTACATGTGCGTAGATTGACTGTCGAGGGCCAATTAATTGCTTAGCCACTGTTTTCAGTGCCTGTCCATCAAGCGGAGGCCTTGATATGCTTGCTTGTGGGGTTACCTTCCAGCATGGGCTGCCGCTGGTGTTGCAAGGAAGTGTGCTGCAACTCATGACAGTCTATTTATCCTTCGCATCAGTCATGTAAATTCTTGCTTCAGTCTCCAAGGCCCTTGGATACTGTAGGGGAGGCCACATGCATTTTTTTGAATCCTTCAGGTGGTTTGACATTGCCTAGCGGGTATAACCCGGCGGCTATAGCCGCTAGGTAGGATCCCCCGCTATGCTCAATGACTATCGTTACACTTGGTAGCACCGTAACCTCAGGAGGGATAGCGGCAAGCGCTGAAGCCCACAAATCCCACAGTGGGGAGGACTGTTTATACCAAGGGTCAGGCGTGATGGGGCCGTTTTCCAAGAAGACGGAAACATTTAGTGTTCTCCCAAAAAGCTCCGTCGAAGATTTAGTCATTCCTCACTTCTAACGCTGGAGACTGGTCAGACTATGCCATCTTATGGGCACATCACCTCATGAAAACCAGCGCAGTATCCGCATCCCACCCAGCGGAGAATGTGTTAAGCATTCATGCAGGATGCATCAGCCCTTGCCAACCGCTCAAGTATGAGCGGTGCTTAGATGATGGGATAGTGCAGGAGTTTATTGCTGTTCTGGAGTTGTTGTTTCGTCTTCTAAGTGCACGCGAAGAGCTACAGTTGCTACGGGCATCGTACTTAATAGACAAATAGACACGACAATGGCGATTACACCTAAGCGAAGTTGTAACTTCTACGACGCACATCCGAACTATGAAAGCTGTCCGATATGCGCTGCAGTGAAGGCTTACCCCAACGTCTACATAAGAGCAAGCTAAGTCAAAAACTGAAAATTCTAAAGCAAGGGAAACTGTCTGCAGAGTGCTACATCGAGGAGAGCCAGTCCAGCGGCAGTACAATACAAGGGGCCACGAAGATTATTTGTCAATTTATGGCAGGGCTGTCCCCAAGAGATGAGCAAGCGGCAACCGTCTGGACTGCGAAGAGGAAAATAAGTAGTGAAAGGGTTGACCTCACCGAGACGATGAACTATTATCGGCTGGTGGAGCTGCAGGCGGTAGGGGCTGCAATGGCTTGATGGTCACGCGCTCTCTTCCAGCTTGGAGGACAGCCAGAAAATTTGACTAAAGCCTTATGCTTCTCTTTTCAGCTCTTCCAAATAGGAAAAAATGGTTTCTAGCGGTCAAAAGCCCGCTCGCTGCTGTTCCTCCATCCTTGCCGCCCTGACTAACGCTGTTGGCGACCAACACTGCTGGAGATTCTGCTGCAGCAGCTGCAATGGCGCCACTGACTGGACCTGCCTCTTTGGCCAAGCTTTGTCACGCCAGCGTCGGGGATGCGCGTTGGATTCCTGCCTGTCAGTAATACTCACGTGTCCGTATAGCCTAGCGCGTTAGCAAAGGTTGCGATTAGGAGCATCAGGACAGGTGGAGCAGACTATATTAGAGCAACGCAAACAGCCATTCAGGCAAATACGTGTAAACTCGTTCGGCTTCCTTCTGATCGAACTGGGATGTAACCACACGCAGGAGCAAATTGACAGAACAGGTTGCTTCATCCCTTTCTGGCGCCACTAGTTCTGTTCCTCCTTAAATTGGTAGTCAAGAAGCGAAGTAATAAGTACAGGGGAAATCATAAGTGCCACTAGTAAACCCAAGGCACCGTGGAACTGCATTACCAATAACGGAAGGCTAAAGCTACTATTGCGAGCGAGCCAGCAGTCGCCTATCGTCATGGTGCAAATCCAGAAGCCGCAACAGGATCGGCAGCCTTTCTGCTAATCTAGTCCTCTTCTGCTACGGCGGGAGGCATCATCTCGTTAGGCTGAGGAGGTCCTTGGTGGTAAGGAGAAAAGTGAAGCTTTTCCGGGTGTACAGGCACCCCTCCCGAGCCTGCCTCTCTGGAAACAACAGCAGCAGCAACGCATACAACACAGTAGCAGACACAGCAACACTTAGTGTGGAAGTAAAACACAGGAATCCACGTCGTTAAGTACCAGTAACAGCGGTTGTAACTTAAAGTGCGCAGCACCAGCAAATTCATCGTGCGTCTGTACAGCATCGGGTCGACAATCTGTAGGGATGCTGCCGAAGCAACGCTCACTGCAGGCGGCATTTAACCAAGTCAGGGTGAAGCAGCAAGACATGGTGACCCTGAAGATACCTGCAACACCAGTAGCACTAGCAGCTATAGCACTATTTTCAGGAGAGCTAAATCAAAGACACATCTGCGAGCCCACACGCGCAAGAGCACGCACAATTGCCACAACACCCAACGGCTTCTCGGTGCTTCACGATGGCAGCAGCATCAACCATTAAGGTTGTGACGGCAGCATCCCCTGCATTCGCTTCCCAGCAGCAGCAGCGGTTGCAGCAAGTGCCGTGACGATCGCTGCAACAGGCAGTAATGTGAACGCGGCAGCACCACCAGCACCTACAGTGAGATTTAGGAGAGCCAGCCACAGCACAGCAGAAGCAACACCACACCGCTAACAAGTTCACCTGAGCACGCCAATTTCCTCGAGGGTCCTCTGAATGTCCTCAGGGCGGATGGCTGTAGCTCGCACCAACTCCTATAGCAACACAAGACAGAAAGGGAGTCACAGAGCCGCACCGGATACGATAACCGAGACTGAGGAGGCCAGACGAATATACTAAAAGCGAGAACAAAAAGAACAAGACCTAAAACTTGGGACAAGGAGACAAAATGCAATTTCCTACAAGCAAGTATAGTGAGAGATGGCACGCAACAGGCAAACAGGCAATACCAGAGAAACACATATGCAGGCAAAGTACAGGTGTACGGCTGGAAAGAGAAAGAGGGAAGCGGCCGATGTCGAGATAAAAATAGCAGAGGTAGATATAGCAAAGGACACTTGGATGCAGCGAGAAGGCCCGAAATGGCAAGAAGCCCTACTGTTTCAGCAGCAGCACACACGAACAGACGCGAAAAGCCGCAGCATGCACTCCACTAGTAGCACAAGCAAGCAAAAAAGGCAGCGCATAGATGCAGCACTGGCAGCAGTGAAAGCAGCAGAGCACGCAGCAATATCAGATGCTGCAGCAAATGAAGCAAAAGCTGGCTGCACCGGCAAGCGACAAAACCAGCAGAAGCTGATGCAATCACAGCATCATAAGTACTCAAGCCACCAGCAGCTGCATCATCAACAATTGCACCGGCTACAGAAGCAGCAGCAGTAACAGGATGCTTACGTGTATGGACACGCGCTTCTTGGCCATCCATTGTGGCTCTGAGAGTAGGTTCAGCAGCCGCCAACTCCACCAACCAATGTAACTAAGTCGCCCCAAGTCGGAGAGGGGCCTTTCCGGTCCCCCGCGTTTATTTTCCTTCAATGACAGTACATAGCTAAAAGATATCAAGAAACGGCCGTAGCCTTTGCGCTGGTGCTGCGGGAGTGTCAAAATACTGAAGGGAGAAAACAGCACACGAGACGCGCGCTTGCTGTTGCTGCCGTCACTATGCTCGCTTATTTCAGTGTTTCTTTTGCGACGTTTATTGCTGCTGTTGCTAATTTTGGCTTCAGTGCGGCAGCTCGGAAGCGCACTGCTACTAGCTTTGCTGCTGCGTCTACTACAATTGTTGATGCTCTTGGGTGTTGCCGCGATGACAAGTTGGCTGCAGTGGTTTGGAAGTGCATGCGCACTTCCAAAACACTGCTTCCACCCCGTAACGATGCGGCTACGTTTCCACTAACAACAGCAGCAAGGGAGCTGCCAGCACGAATAGCCAGGAAGCCATAAGAATCAGCGAATGCATGAGCAACAGCAGTACTGGAAGCAGCAACGGCCTCACCAGGCGAGATTGTACCCTTGAAGAGACACCTTTTCCTGCAGCAAACAAGCACTTAACCAAACCAAGCAGTTGCTGTATCGTCTGCGGCTACTGCTGCTGTTGATGCAGCCTTGAGCTATTAATCCAGCAGTGAGTTTACCCCCCCAAACCACGAAACTTTCAGTATTTCACGAATCAACAGAAGCATCGAGGGGCCTAAAAATAACTACCTTTGAAAAGTATCCAATGAGGTGAGCTCCCCCCGCGTCCACCTGAAAAGTTACATGGGATCGTTTCATATAGCGGTAAGCAACTGGACTAGCACAACAGGGGCCGTTGCAACAACCGCCGAAGCCCGCAGCAGCAAATAAGTTCACAGTCTAAGCAGGAGCAGCAGAAGCGGCGTCCACGCCCGTAGAAACTTCAATGGCAACATCAATGCCCACAGAAGGCGCAGCAACTGCGGCACCAAAGTGCTGTTAAAGCAGCAGCGTTCGCATAAGAGCAGCATCGAAGCGACAAACTGGAGCGGCAGCAGTAGCAGACCTCTGTAAGGACGTAGAACAGGAAGGGCTCGACGTCAAACTGAAGCGTCTTATGGTCCAGGAAGAGTTTCGCCAAAAAGCACAAGTTCTCCTGTACAACATGCGCACAGTCACATGCTACTTCCCGTGCTCCTGCTTTTGCTGTTCCTTGCCTTACTGCTGCAGCTGTCCCGCTGGTACAAGCTCCACGTATGTTGCTGCTGGCTTCGAGGTAAAGGGCACCTACGCTGTACACTCGCGCTGACTTGCCGTCGACTTCAAACATGGACAAGCTGCAGCAGAAGCAGCGAAAGCAAATAAGCGAAAATGCATCATTGAAAATCCTTCACACCAGCAGCAGGCACGCTTGTAGAGGTGTGGGCGGCAAACTGCTGCTCCAAAAATAACAGCCGCAGAGGCAGCCGAACAAGAGGCCCCGGTTCTTGCTTAGCTGCCCAGTTGTACAAATCTTGCACATTGCAACGCTCAGCATGCCCGCATCCGCACCAGCCATCAGCAGCAGCAGGCGCCTGGCTGTGTTCGGAAGCGACTGACTGTCCATCTCTGTAGATTTCGTTGCCTGGGGGGTGCCTAACGGTGCACCTCAGGGAGTGCGTGAGGAGCTCAGACGCCTTGAGGAAGAAGGAGAGGCAAAATTCGCAAATGTGAAGATCGGTGGCTTGCGCCTCTGCCGGATAGGGCGAAAAGTACCATGTGTCAATCTCCTGACCCCCAAAGTATATCTTGTTCACCGTCTTCACGCGTGTCGCCTCTTCATGCGCCGCCAACGTCGCTGAGTCCATGCCCTCGTGCTCCTCGTCGTCGTGCTGCAGTGGGGGCCGTCAAAACCATACAGAGACAAACGCATGCAAACAAAACGGAGCGGAGACAGCGATGGGGATCAGTAGAAGCAGGCAAAGCGCGGGACAGGAGGAGGCATCTGACCAGCACTCACAAGAGGCTTCGCAGTTACGACTCAGAAAAACTTCACTCAGAAAGCAGGACGCCAAGATTATTTGTACAGACTGGAGGGCAGAGAGACGAAGATGAAGGAGAACGCAACAAGCAACAGACAAAAGCTCAAATTGAGCAGATTCCTGTTTCTCCCACGCCTCAAACCGACGCAGACACTGAATGCGTACACAACTATACAAGTGCGTGCCAGTGGGTTCCACCGATTCCATCGGCGTCAGTTCCGTCAGTGATTATTCAAGCATAGGGGGCCGAGACAAGCAAATGGCCTGTGGTCATTTGCGTGCGTACGACGGACCCTAAAGTAAACACTTAGTCCTCAAGTCGTCCACTAACACGACAGCTTTTTGATGACAGCACTGAAGCTCCAAATTTGGCTATGTGCATACACAATGTGAATTCGGCTGGGCACAAAATCCGCATATCCGGCAAGGAGATGGATAGCATGCAGAGAGGACGCGCGAGAAAGCCAGAAAAAAACGCGAACAAAGTGAGACAAAGAGATAGAAGCAAACGATCGGAGACAAAAGCATCTTTGCCACTTTTCACTGTGCTGGTACAGCAATTTGAACGCACGCACGTCTGAAAAGACAAGTGAAGGGTCAAAGAGCAGCGCTTTCAGCTCCTCAGCTTCTGCATGCCGCTCCTGCTCAAGTCGCTTCCATGCAGCGGCAGCCGCGGCGCAATCATCTTCCCCTTTGTGTTCTGCTGCTGGTGGCGTTACTGCTGCTGGGGATGCATCCACTGGCTCTTGAGGTGGACTGGCAGAAGCACTAGTAGCAGACGCAGCAGCAGCATCAGAGGCAACCACGCTTTCGTGAAACACCTTCATTCGCTTTGGCATGTGCTCATCTGTCCTATCAGCATCTGCTGTCGCTTCGTCGCGCACTGCCTCTAGTGCTGCTGTATCGGCTGCTCCTGTTGCTGCGGCTCCAGTCGCAGCACCTGCTTGCCGTGAGGTGCCGTGCTGATCGAAACCCGTAGGCAGCAAGACCTGCCCCCGTGCATTTACGGGAAGCAAGTCAGAAAACCGCAACCAGCAGTCTAGTCGTCGGTTGGTCAGGCGGTAGTGAACGTAATATTCATAAGCGCTAGGACACGCTGCTCCTGCTGCTGTTTCGCTGGTGCTGCTGCCTGCTGGATCGAAGGTGGAAGAACCCCCCGCCTTTGAGGCTGAACTCTTGCTGGTGCTGCTCTTACTGATGCTGCTGATGCTGCTGATGCAACCGCTGCTGCTGCTTCTCAACTGTCTGGCAAGCCCTGGTTGCATCACCTCATCTGGCAGGTGCGAGCCCGTCTCGCCGTGGGTCCTCACTGACAAAATCTGCAGCAGCAGCGACAGAGATGCACGCATGGACGCCCTGCTGCGGCACAAGATAAGATATAGAAGCAACAGCGGCAGCAAGAGAACCAAGTTTCCGGGGCTGCAGCGGCAGCCGCAGTTCTGTTGGAGCAGCAGCACCAGAGGGATCATCACAGGCAGCTGGGCACACCAATGAATCATCACCAACAGAAGCAACTGCAACAGTGCGACCACAAACAGGAATGAACCACAACTTCATGCAATTTACCTTAGCCAGTCTGTGCTCCCCCGTTGGCTTGAAAAGTGCTGCAACCCACTGGTTGGTGCCCAGACACCGTGCCTTCTTCCCCCCAGAAGTCGGACCCCGCTGCTGTTGTTGCTGCTGCTGATGCTTGCTACTGGCACGGTGAATAGTCGTGCCGCGAACAGAAGAGACGCTAATGCTGCTGTTGCTGCTGCTGTTGCGCACTGAAGAGACGAAGCTGCTTCTGCAGCTGCCGCCGCCGCTGCTGCCGCTGTTGCCACTGTAGCCAGCGCTGCTGGCGCTGTTGTTGTTCGCAGCGCTGCTACTAAACCGATATGAAGATACGACGCTGCTGCTTATACTACTACCGCCATGAATCGATGACGAACTTGACCCGTCCGACATCTGGTGCCCTTCAGCAGCACCTGTTGCAGGATTCGCCGTAGCAGTTGCTGCTGTTTCAGCGTTACCCGGAGCAAGCATCCCTCCGCCGTGAGCAGGATCCGGAAGATCCATGTTGCTGTTGCTGGCTTTGTTGCTTCTGCTGCTTTTGCTGCTGTTGCTGCTTCTGCTCCGGTCGCTGCAGTTGCTGCTTTTGCTGCTGCTGCTGCTTTTGCTGCAGTTGCTGCTCTTGCTGCAGTTGCTGCTGTTGCTCAGCTGCCGTTTCATTTGCTGTACATGCGGATCCTGTTGCTACTCCCGTCGGCTTCCTTCGCTTATCCGAGAAGCGGCCTATGAGGCTGGCCCTGCCGCAGCGGCTCTGCCGTTGTTTCTGCTGGTACGGATGCTGCTGCTAGTGCAAATGACACTGCCTTGCCAAATGTGCTACAGACAGGCTGAGCGTATGTTTATTGTCCTCTTTAAGGCCCGTGTGACTCGTGCTCCTGCCGTCACTCGCTAGGGCTGACAGGGCTTGCAGTGATGCCGTTGTTGCTGTTGTTGCGCCTGCTAATGCTGCAGGAAAACGCAGGACAAACTAAGAAACTTCGCTGTGAGAGCAGGCTTCTGCGAGCAATCCAATGAAAGAAAAGCTCCTGCCACGATCCCAGAAGTAGCAGGAGAAGAGCATATCCCCGTCGCTGGTGCTTCTGTGCCGGAGCCGTTTCAGCTGCGGCGGGGGACGAATGCTGCATTACAATGGCTAGGTTATATTGAGCTTTTACTTCTTATTATGACTGTATGCTGCTGTTGCATCTGTAATGGCCCTCCAGGGGGCCCCTTCTGCCGCTGCTGCCGACAGTGGCGGAACGAACAGAGCCTAGGGGCTTGCTGCATGCACGCGAATACTGAAGGGTAGAAAGACTGATTAAAGCCCAAATAAGCTAAGTACTTTTTATATGGCGGAAGTGATGAGATTTGCTGCGTACACTCAACGCTTTTCTTCACAACTGCTGCCCCGGGCTGCAAACGCCAAAACCGCAAAGCCCTAAACCCTATGGCAACAATAGTCCTACATCATGGCCGAGGGAAATCGTACCCTGCAGTAGAGTTAAAGTACGTAAGGAACGATTTCTCCCAGAGGCCACTGACCTTCCCGCCGCTCTCCAGGCGTCCTATGGGCAGCTGCACACGGTCCTGCATGCGACGAGGCGTCTGTGTGTAGCATGGCCGGTGTGAAGTTTGTACGTGTGTCTCTACTTACGTGCAGGCCATCTATGTACGACAAAGTAGGCGTTTAACAAATGTGTGCAGTGTTAGTGCGCGCAACAAAGTGGGTTTGGTTATGCCTGCAGGTGGGACTGCCTTACAGCATCAGTTGCAACGACGTGCGGCACAGCAGATGGGCGGCCTGTTCCTCTCCGCAGCAACCCCAGGCCCTTGGTCGTTATTCCCAGGATGCGTGAGGAAAATGGTGGAAGGGGGGGAAAGGGGGTGCTTCAGCTGCTTTTGAGGAGCTATTTTCTAAAGTATCATGGCTATTTGGCTGCTTACGACGGTATTCGAATGGAACCGAGGACTTCCATTACGCTTGGCAGCAATGCATTGTTCGTCCGAGCAGGTGAGAGAAACGAACCTAGACCCCACAGCGTGGCGGCCTGTTTCATGAAACAGACCAGTAGTGAAGGTACTTTGAAGACGGGCAGAAGACTCCTTAGGTTCTCTCCCATAATCTTCTCAGCCCCTTTTTTTTCCCTTGCACAGCAAATATTGATGAGGGTCTGCCCGTTGGCGGAAAAGTGGGCAACGGCCCAGAGCCCATTTAGCGGAAAGTGCTTCAACAACAGCAATCTTCTGAGAAATACCTCCGCCTTCGCCGATCCACCAAAGATGACTAGCGCCCCAATAAGGGAGCGGGGAAGAATTCCCTTGCTTCTCTGGAGTTGTATTTCCGTCTCCGAAGTGCGCTCGAAGAGGTTCACTTGCTATTAGCATCGTCCTTATTGGACGGGGAGACACGAAAATGCTGGCTGGGTCTACGCAAGTGTACCAGTTTCCGGAGCGCGTCGGGAGAATGAAAGCCTTCTTAAGTAGGGTGCGGTGTAGCTTTGCTCCTATGTTGGCGAGGGAGCATGCCATGGCATCACTGAGAACAGCTCCCAGAGCGATGCTATCGATAGAGCACTACGTCGACGAGAATCGGCGCTTGGTGAGCAGAAGGCCGACGGTGAACTCCAAGTTTTCTGTATCAACAGTTTAGCATGGCTGTCGCCTGGAGAGCGGTAATTGGTTAGAGGCTGAGATGCAGAGCTGGAACCAAGGAGTGAATTGATGGAACTCGCGGCGATGATTGTAGTGAAAGCTGGCCTACACTGTTACTACGATAGATCCCTAGGTTAGACAGAATAGGTGCGCACGCTACTATCGCGCCCTTAAACCTATGATTCTCGCTAAAACCACGAATAAACACCGTTAACAACCAAATATGTGATCGAGTTCCTATTATTGTTCCCCCAAGGAAAACTCAGAATAATAGAACTGATCCCCCGACCCTCCCCTAGGGCGGGGCCAGGGTCGCAGCAACAGCCTCGCACCCAGCCCCAAGCTGGTGCCGGCTGGCGACCACTCTGATCCTATGAAGAGGCTTCCCTATCTAAAAGTGTCCTAATCTCCCTATTCTCTGAAATACTCTACAATATTCGTTTCTTTTCCTGATTTTAGGCCTCTAGAGGCCACACCAAAGCACCATTGTAGTGCCTGTGCACTACAATGGTGGAGTAATTGACGCGTCAAAGGGAAAAACACCAGTTTCACCGCTCTAAGTGGGAAGAGGATAGACAGATTTGGAAGCGTCTCCGAGATGCAATTTACACACATTCGGGTTGTCAATGCCAGCCCCACCGGCTGTAGGAAGTCGGCAAATCCGCACTCAGAAATCCGGATGGGCGTACAGATTGACACATCCGCTTCCGCGCACCGCAGAAAGCCATCTACTTCGACGTTTCAGAAGCATGATATGAATAAGGAAGCTGGCGAAGCCAGATATCAAGCAGCGTCACATAGAAATGAGACGCATCCTTCAGGGAAACTCCGTGGTCCCCAAACACGTGCGGAGTGGTAGTGGGGCTGAAAGTGGTGACAACCGCACCTACAGATCAGCGCCGAGTTAACTCGCAGTTTACCTAAGTTCGTCTTGATGGTCAGGGCTTGTTAGCCCTACTTGATACAGGCTGCGTAGCTGATCTGGCATCGGTACTTACGGCGAGTCGGTCCAGTGCATAGGTATTTTGGTTGGCGCAGCCACTGCAATTGCACTTCGCCAATAGCAAGCAGGAAACAAAAATCAGCAAAACCAAGGGCGTAAAATAGGAACTCCATTCAGAAATGGCTCATGCTGTCATGTTGCAGAACTTTTACGGTGGACCAGGTCGACACAAGGTAATCGCAAGAGTGCCGTGGGCCACCCATTGCAGGGCGCACGTGCAGCCCCCGCACGGCATCCTTGAGATTTATTTTCCCGGAGGCACTGAGATCGTGCACTTCTCAGAGCTCCCAACAAACTATGTCTACGGTAAGGGGTCTGGACGCACTGTCGCAAAGAAAAGGGAGCGAGGAGTGTCCTACGCAGTGCAAAGCCGCTGCAGCAAGCGCGGGAGAACGGCATGCAGTCCTTGGTGATGCTCCTGCGAAGGACCGCGGTATTGTGGGATTCAACCTAGCGAGTGCCTCAGCAACAGCATAAGTGGGCACAATTGGAAGAAGAGTTCTCAGATTTTCTAACTAAAAAAGGGCTAGTAGGGGGCCGGCGACTCGCTGGGAATGCCCAAGTTGCTGCATCCAACACAGTCACAACAGTCCCATGCATTGTTCCTCATGACAGATAACCCCGCATCCTGGAAAGGTAATGGAGCCGCAAGCAAAGTAACTGTAAAGAAGAGGCAACTTTCAACCGTCAACCAGTGTTTTCGGACACAATTCAGCGCAGGCCAAGAAAAAGCACAGGAAGCTGTTCATGTGCGAAGATTTCGATCCCCCCATCAGTCTATTTATCATTTGATCACTGATCCGCTTTCTGTTTATTACAAATGCATCCCAACCAAACCAATCGGAAATGTACGCATGCGCCGCACCCCATGAATTTCGTCCACGTTCAACCGGTGGGTGCTGCATTGATAGTGGCACAGAGACGCTCGTATCTACTACCAAGCTAGCATACGGTGCTGAATGATAACCTAGTGTTATGTGACGTTCCTTCTTGCCAGCAGCTAGCATGGCACCGCCGCCCTCAGCACCTTTTTTTCCCATATTCCCCGACTCCCGCCACGAGACTAAGTCCCACACACGCACTCGCACACTAGGGTAGGCGTGAATGCGAATTTCACTGGCAGGACAACTGCTAGTTCGTGTGTCCAGAAAGTGGGGAAGTGATGGTTCCATAGATGGAGGACTTGCTCATGATCAGCAGGAATGTGGGCACCACGTGCAGCACCTGCAGCGTGCTCTGCAACTGCTACCTGAGAAGCAATGACACTGAAAGGACGAACGTGTTCGGGGATCATGCAAACAACTAGGTTCTGGCACGCCCCGCGAATAAGTTTCCACGGCTATCATAAGGAAAGGGTGTTGGGTGGCTCTGCCGGCCTCCGCAGGAAGACTTCACTTTCAAGCAGTTCAAGGGTATCAACAAAATGGTCACTAACGCGCCCTTCCGAAGTCCTCACAGGTAGGCACTGTATTCTGCAAAACTTTTTCTCTGTGGTTATTCCAGTCTCCTTTGTGCACTGCGTTCGTCTCACTCCAAAGGTACTCAGGCAAGTGCGATTAGTGCAAAGCTCAACCGCACGTGACGGGTCAAGCACTACAGCCTAGACAGCGATCTGTTGTGGTACCAGACGAAGCGTAGGCTCCGCCGATTTTACATTCCAGCATCGCTTCGGAGAATGCACGCTCATGCAGTAGAGGGTCGTGGTGAGGTGAACACAGCAGTGGAGCTAGCGGGTATCTCCTTTATGTGACCTTTGTTGCGCCCCTCAGCAGAAGAACATGCCATCACTTCTCCGGAATGTTAGCAACGAGATCCGCTGAGTAATTTCACACTGGGACTTTCACAGAGACTCCCGACCCCAAAATGGATATGGATACGTATCTCCATGGAAAGTACTGCGCATTTGCCATCGGCCAAGGGCTACAGAGCACCTGCTTCGTCTTCAAAATGCTCAGCAGCTGCGCCCACTCCTTCCCTCATTTGAGCTTTTTTTACAGCAAAAGGAGTGGCACGATAGTCACTAGTTGCGTAGAGTTGTCGGAAAAGCATCGTTACTGGCAATGACCCGAAGTTCACGAGCGTCTTCTGGCGCGACTTGACGAACTGGTTCATTATTGAAAATGACCACCTCGCGCCAGCAGGAGACAGACGGTCAAACTGAAGTCACCAGGTGGACGCTTGCGCAGTATTGCCACACTATACCTATCCCAATCCTTCTAGGTGGCTTGGTTTTCTACCTTGGAAGGAATGGGCTTATAATACAGTACTGCGTTCTTTGTGCTGTTGCCATGCGGAATCTCTGAACCATACCGGCACACCGTTGTCCGGCCAGACTTTAATCGTGACTGTTGGCAACCAGCCCCGTACGCCCGCGCCTGCAGGCTTCAATACACAGAACTTGCACCAGCGCCGGAATACATGGAGAAAGCAGACGAACACCAGGCAAGCAATTAGGACAAAAGGCATTAGGGAGGCGCTTTCAACGCAGATGACTTGGTTTAAGTGGATTAGCACGCTTTCCGAAGCGTGCAGGAGGGCGAGCAGCCGAAGAAGTTTGCCGCACGTAGGGTAGGGCCGCTTGCTGTTCATTCTTGGGTTAGCGCATTGGCCTACATCGTTGATCTACACCGCTCGTGGAGACGCAATCAATCCACTAATGTTGGTTATTATTCTTTTAAACCGTTCAGGGAATCAGTTAGTTTTATAGGGGCTCTCCCCCCACAAAGGTGGCAACGCCAAAGCGAGAAGGAACAACAGCGGCATAGAGATCTTAGACATACGCGTTAAGACTTACAGAGGCCGCAGCAAACGTGAATATTACGTCAAATGGCCAGCTGACCGACAACCTGAGTGGGTGATCGCTTGCGCAAAACAATTACTGCGGAGCATCTACGCGCCAACGTCGAAGCAGCAACGGTGACTACAAACGTCGAGATGAGAAGCACCACATAAATTTCGAACACGCACAACGGTTTGGCAACAATTATTCCCTTGCTTGCATAAAAGGCGTCCATTTCGCTTGACTCCTGCGACCTCCACTGCTTCACTGTCGATGGCGTAGACCTGTAAACGCCACCCGCAATTTTCCGCATGATCGAAATGCGGGTCTCAAGACGGCATATGGAAGTTTGCATACTTCGATATGAAAAAATGTAACCTCTGAATTCAATAGGTACCAAGAAACGCCGGGCTCCGACGAACGGTAGGACGTGCTGTGCAATTTGCAACCCGAAAGCCTCAGTGTATCATCTCGCAAAATTTAAGGAGAATTTAGCCCTGGCGCGTACTTTCCCCCCCAGAGAGTCATTTCCCTATAATTAACAGAGATTCATGTACGCCGCAACCGATATCCAAACTTTTTGGAAACGATTTACTCATTCGTGCAGTACGGAGTCCCCACGAGGGGTACTTGCTGCCTACTCACCCGCCAGTTCGGGCAGCTTTATCCCCATCGCTGGATGGTGGATGCGGGGCACTCCACAATACAATGCATATTGAACACGTTCAGCCTATAAATTCACTGCATATTCTTTTAAAACCGTTTCCACTTCCTTCTTTGTGCAGCTCCCCTACCTCGCCTGCAGATGTCGTGCAGGTGAGGCGGCATATGGTTGCGGGCGGCAGACGCAGCAGTGTACGATTGGCTTAGGATTCAATGTTCCAGCGGAGGGCTTCGACTTTTTTTTGGCTTTGTCTTGCAAATTGTAGGTTTCTCTGAGGCGCGCATTCATCCTCGCTGTTGCTCTTACGTCCCGTTGGTTTTCTCGTGCAGGAGCAGTGGTTCCAGGTGTGTATCGTTTTGGCCACGGTGGTGTGCTTACTCGTAAAGGCGTAGTCTTCATTGCTCACTTGATATAAGGCGGTCCGTTGGCCGCGGTTTGAACCGTCGACTTCATTTTGTGCATGCGGTCCTACCCGTAGCGGCGGGGCAGCACCCACCTAACTCTGGGGACCTGGCGTTGCTACTGCTGTTGGTAGAGAGGTAGGGTGGGGGCCTCAGTGAAAGCCTTCCTGTGCGCTTGCATGGACTAGAAGCCACATGTATGGGCTTGGAAAGACAGGGAAGTCTCTTTTGTAGCATCAGTTGAGTGCGAGGTGGGCCAACGTGAACTGTAGTGGGAGGGGTGGGAGAGGCAGCAACGAAGGAGACCGCAAAGGCTGCAGTATAGGCTTGCGCAAAGACAAAATGCGGCCTTCCAATATGGCGGCATCTGCAGCACGTTCTTCTCGACTGCGAGAGGGAGGGACAGCTGGCCCTCTGGACCGACCCCAGCTACAGCAGCAGCAGCAGCTGCACCTACAGCTGGAAAAGCGGATCGCGGAACGGCAGCAGATGCAGGTGGGGCAGTTACAGAAGCGAAAGTTGCAACACAAGCAAGTGCAAAGGCAACAAGTGCAGCGGCAGGAATTGCAGCAACAGATACGACAGCGGGAGCAGAGGGGGCAGCAGCTGCTGCTTCTACTGCAGCAGCGTCTGCAGAAGCAACGTCAGCAGTTACTAGTGGAGAAGAATCTCATGTGGCGGAGACGAACACGGCACGAGCCGCTGCCGCAGCAGCATCAACAGGATGGCGTGGCAGAGTCGCACGACAAGTGCTGGTTTTCACGGGGTCGGAGGGAAGCCCTTCGTCTTTGTATTCCATCAGAAGCATCTGCAGAGAACCCGAGTCGTTTGCATTTGCATCAATGCGTTGGCTCGTTACCTGCGGATGGGGAGCCCTGCGATGCAGAAAAAGAAAGGGGAGGGGTAGAGTACGGAGAGGAAGATGAAGACAAGCTTGAAGGAAAAGAAGAGGGGCAATGGGGGGAAAAGAAGGACGACGGAGATAAAGCAGATGAAGGAGGAGCAGGAGGCGGTGAAGTTTTGGGGAATGGTGTTGCGGCCCTATTAGGAACAGATACAGCGACACTAGCAGGTACGGCAGCACCAGCAAGCACAGGTGCAGCAGCAGGCACAGGTGCTGCAGCAGAAAGAGCTGAGGCAGCAAACAGTTTCACAGGGACAAATATAGGTTCAACAAGAGCCACACATTTACCAGAAACCGCTGTTGCAACGGCTTCTGCAACCGAAGTAGGAATTATAGGGTCGGCGGCCGTCAGACCAGCAACGGCGGATGCAGCTGGGTCCAGGCTGCACGAGGGGACACCCTATGACTTCCCTGGCGGCAAAAGCAGCAGTATCACCACCACCAGCAGCGGGAACCGCACAACTCTTCGGCTTTGGGTAAACCCGTCACCGGAGCAGAAGCGGGAGCTGGGCAACTTCCGTAGCATCAGCAGAACCAGCAACTCAGGCGGCCACTCCCCTCTGCGCTCTAAACGCTTCTGTGTTTCTGGCTCCCCAAAATCGGCGATAGAAGGAGGGCAGGAGATGAAGGGCGACTCGAGCCTTGTTAACGGCAGCGGTAGGAGAAATAACTCGAGGTACGGCCGCAAGCGTTTCCGATCACGAAACAGGTGTGGCTGTCCAGGATGCAACCGCAGCAGCAATAGCAGTAGGAGCAGCAGCGAAGACGGGAACATCGGGGGCCGGTGGAGAAGAGAAGGACGAAACCTACGACTATCATCTGCTCTCTACAATGATAACGACAGGCGGAGAGACGGGAACAGGAGCCGCAGCAACAGTTCCTGCTACGGCAGCTTTGGTAGCAGTATCAAGGAGGTGGTTGACTGTGACAGTGATGAGGACGGCGAGAGCCACTTTGTTCGCTTGTGCGTTGCTTCAGCAGAGGCAGTTAGGCCAGTGGCACCACCGGGTATAGGGGAACATACAGCAGCCATGCTTGTTGGGCATCGGAGCAGCAGCACTGGCAGTAGCCACAGCAGCGACAGCACATTCAGCAAATGCAACGGCCACTACGACAATTGGTGCAACAGCAACGACACTAACGGCAACGGCAGATCGCTGCGATTTGAACGTTCTGTTTGCGGGTCTTCTTCGTCGAAACAGCTCCCGCATCAGTTGCTATTTCCACTTCGCATAGCCTCATTTGGCTTCAGAGCGCGAGAAGCAGTAGCGGCAGCTCCTGCCCGTGTTAGGCCATTTACTGATTCCCCACCAGCAACGACACAAAGCGTGAGCGGCGATTCTAGCAATGGCGAGCAGGAGCTCTGTGGGTTCAATTTTTCGCGTTTCTCGTTGATTCGTGGGCATCGGGGGAGGCACCAGCTTCAGCGACACGGGCCAGTTTTTGTACCGAGCAAAACAGTCACTGACTTGGCTGAACAAACCAGGGATGGTCCAGGAGTCGCAGGACGTGTCCATCGCAGCCGCAGGGCAGCGTCAGCTACCTCCGCAGCTGGAGGCAATTCGACAACAGCTGCAGTGACGCATGCCGGTGCTGGTGTTCGAGGCAGCGCAGTAGAGGCGTCACCGCGTGTTGCTCTCCGAGGTCAAACACCAAATGGAGCGCATGCAGCATCGACTGAAGAACGTGCTGCCGGTGGATGTCACGCTGCAGCGATTGGAACGCGCCTGACTCCTCGGGATCGAACAGCATTAGCGGCAGCATTGTCTGCTGGGGCTGCTGGGGGCAACGCCAGTGTCAGTGCGCTTGTCCCTCGAAATAGTGGGGCAGCACTTCGCGTGCATGTTGTTCCCTCGTCTCTTCAGGGTGACGCAGCACGCGCAGCTCTGGCAGCATTTGAAGGGCGGCCGCCCATTGCAGCAATGAGGCCTCCCATCCCTCAGCCGTTTCAGGCCTTGCCGCACAGTATGATGCCTCCAGGCATGGCTCCGTCAGGATTTCCACCCCACCTGCAGGCGATGCAGCACCAGCTGCAGGTGCAACAGCGGCTCGTCGAGCAGCAGCGAGAGGGTCAACACCGTCGCCTAGCAGTAGCATTGAGGCACCACTGGAGGCTCGTTCCAGGTGATGCTTCTGCTGCTGGGGCGGCCGATGCGGCTATCCGCGGCCGGCATACGGGGTTAAGGCACTCGCCTTCACAGCGGTGTCAGCCTCGACTTACCATGGCGCAGGCAGAAGTAGCGTTTGCCGAGGTCAGTGGCACCATCGAAAGTGTGCTCCTTGTGCTGCAACGCCACCAGCAGCTCTTTGGTGATGGCCCTACGTGGGAGCAACCCCAGCAACGGGGAACTCCGGCCCACGTACTGGAGCAGTTGCCTACGCTCCCCTTCAAGCGCCGGCTTTCGACCCCTTGCAGCATGTGCATTCCGTCCAACAGCAGCGGTAGCCGCGGAGGAACTGGCCACTTTGGGGATACTGACAAATGCGCAATATGTCTAGAGTCGTTCGCGGAAGGCAGAATTGTCCGGTTCCTTCCCTGTTTTCACTTTTTCCACGCTTGCTGCGTAGATACATGGCTAGAACAGAGCGACACATGTCCCATCTGCAAGTGGCCTGTGCAATGTACGGTCCCTTCTCATGCAGAAGCTCTTGCTGAAGTGGAGCCCTCTACTACTTTGTCGTCGCCTGCTTGTTACAGAGGTGCTGCTGTTGTGCGCACATCGCGGGATTTTAAAGCGCAAGAGGGTGATGATGCATCAACTGAAGAAGACGCCTACGGTGCGGCGTATGCTCAGTAGAATGCAAGCTGCAACAGCGTCCGCTGCTGCGCATGATGCGTATGATGTTTCCCATGCATACTGCATTTTAACACCTAGGTTGGCTGGTGTTAATGTTGCGTATGATACACCTTTTACGCAGTATGCACAGCCAATCACCGCTGCTGCGGTTGCTCACGGTGTGTTTAAGATGCTCCTGATGAGTTTATTTTGGCTCCAAGATAGGCGCACTTGGTGCAAATGATGCGAACGTATGCTGTGCATACTTTCGCAGCAGATTCTGTTCAGGATGTGTACGATGTTCCTGATGGACGCCACGTTCATTGGACTGCAGCTGCAACTGGTGCAGTGCATGGTTCTTTTGATACGAAGTAGCAGCAGCTTTGCCCATGGATGTATCGATGCTCCTTATGCGCAGAATGCCTTTGCAGCGGCATCTTCTGGCGCTGCCTATTGTGCTATGATATCCCTATTACGAAGTCCGCTACAGAAGCTGCTTCTGGTGCTTGCGCAGCAAGTGGTGAGGCTTGTGAGCACTAACTGAAGTCTACAACAGCTGCTGCTACCGACCCTGCTTCGTATTTGAAACTGCCGCAGTTGATGCTGCTGGACGGTGCTCGCACCTGCTACATATATGACTGTTTAAATGCGGGTGTATGCGCATATGTAGGTGTATATATATATATATATGTATATATGCATTTACAAGTGGCGGGGCATTAGCAGCAGGTGTTAGTAAACTGTAGAGGGCTTTGCAGCAGTGCTTGCTTCCGGTGCTACGGCTCCTACTGGCACTGCTGACGAGAGGATGCGGACTATGGACATTCGCCGGGATGGCAAGTGCGTATTGGGAAATCACGTGAAGCGCACGGGTAGGGAGGACACTCACTTTTTGACGGGTTTGGCTGGTTGAATTGTCTAATTGGTGCAATCGTTTGGGGACAGGCTGGACATGAAGTAGCGATGCGACGATGAACTATGTGTACAGTAGTTTCCTTTACGCAGTGATCTGTTGTTTGCGGGTTAATGCAGTTGTTTGCCGCGGTGCGCATAGAGTTGATAGTACGGGTCTGTCGTTGGCGTGGGGTAATAGCTATTGAATTGCTAGAAAATGTATAGATGCGCTGAACTGTGAGGTAAGGCAAAAGTATTGGGAGGTGTTTAGTGTTGCATTAGTGAATTAGTTTACGGAAGGGGCACACTACTAAGCATGACGGACTAAACATGACGATTGAGAGTGTAGTAGTGTAGTAATAAGGTGGAGTTATGGGAGTATGGAGGGATGCCGCGCTGAAATGGTAGAGATCGTGATGCTCCTGTGGGCTTGAAGTAGGAGCAGTAAATTGAAGGACCCATCGCTATAGGTGTTCGCAAAATACGTGTCTAATAATGCTCGTGCGCACCACTGCAGAAGGAGTATTCACTTTGGTAGAGGCGACAGCAGCACCTGCTGCTGAATGGACTTCTTGCATGTTTTAAGCTGCGTGGCGTGTTGCTCCTGGCAGCTGCTGGTAGTAGAGACCCCACTGCGGCGGCAGGCTCGCATGCAAAAATGCAAGAGCATTCGGGTCGGCGGCTCCATCCTGTTGGCTTTGTCTCGTTCTTGAATGTTCGTCTCGACCAGCTGGGGGCATGGGAGCCAGCATGACGAAGGGGCTTGGCTATTGCAATACGATGGTGATTGGTGATTCTTCGCCTTATCGGGGCTTCACTATTTTGGCGAAGCATTGTCTCTTTTCCCTTGATTCATGTGGCTTTTTATGCGGGGGTCTATTTTCTGCTGGAGCTTTAGCCCGCTTCTAGGGCTCTAGCTTTTTGAATAAGGCTCTCGTGTTTGTGGGCCATACGCCACCGGCAATATCTGGCCTGAAATTACGTATTACAGATGAGCAACGGGATGAGCAGGCCTGACTTTTTTCAAGAGGCAGCCAGCCTTAGCATGCTCAACTGTCCGGCTTACTAGGCCTTGCGAGAAGTGACAGCACGGTGCAGCAAGGAAGAGGAGCAGTTGGCCTTTCAAGCAGTAGACCTACATGAGGACGAAGCCTTCTGCGAACTAGGAACCTGGGGGTGAGTATGCCAGGGTGGTGGCAGCTAGAGCAAGCTGTTGCCGAATCTCATCCAAAGGTGAGTACTTTTTCGGCGAAAACGAGTCATGAAGAATGCAATTATCTTTGGAGGTCGTCCGGACATGAGGGGAGACTAGATGCGGCACTCGTCACATCACTTACCCGCAAGCTGCCCCGGCCCCGCTCCCTCGGCAATGCGAGGTAGTGAAGATATGCCTTTCTGAAGACGTAGTTCGTTCGGCACTTGGTATCATCTTGATTAGGAAGCAAGGCACGACAACCGACGCCGTTTGTCAGCAGGGTTATACAACTTTTCCAGGAAACATCCGGGCTATGGGAGGTTTCCGGAAGCGCTGCATTGCTGGTGTATATCCCGGGAAGAAATGCCAGAATTAAGAAAAACTTGAAAGGGGGAGGGGTGGATAGGACGGTACATCGTGAATTGTCAGTGCCTGGTGAACAGAAACCCCACGGGGGACTCAAAGCTTCTTTCTCAAAGGCCTGACCCATAGCCAGGCATATGGCTATGGGTCAGGCCTTTGAGAACGGCTCGGTAGGTGATGAGGTGGGGACAGAAAGCTCGCGTAGATGGTGGGCGGCAAATTCCGCTTCTGCAGCACTAGCTGAGAAGGAAAAAAGCAGCTTTGTAAGTGACCCAGGTATAAACACAATAGATAGTACGGCTGTGAATTCCCGCTCTGCGCACAGACAGGTACGAAGTGGCAACAGGTGGCAGCGGGCGGACCTGTCGTTAGGGGGAAGTACCTGGTGGGTCATGCGCTTTTGCTGCAAGAAATAGGGCCGCGTACTTCAAGATTGCAGGCGCGTATGAAGAAATAAGACACTCTGGTAGCAAGCCTTTGAACAGCACCGCAGGCGTACGGGAGAAATTGATCAGGGAAGTGCCCTGGACCCCACGCAGCACACCGCAGAGTTGGTGACGGAGGAGGTTATCGTGGCCCGGCTTATTCAGTTAAGTGCCAACTCTGTGCTGAACTGCTTCTGGCTCTACTTAGCTTATGCTGCCAACTGGGTCTCCTATCTGAAGCTACGACAAGGGCTACAACCTGCCTGTCTAGTCTAGGTGGCGGAGTTTCTTCGGCTACGCTTCTCCAAAAACAGAGAAGAGGCGAACCTCGGAGGACTCGGAGGACTATGGGCGGAAAATGCAATCTCATGTCCGAAAATTATCATACTACTATGGAACGGGACCTTCACGCTGGATCAGCTCACCACGAAAAAATTGTACGCATCTGCGCTTTCACGCTCACCACCGGTTCGGGGGACAAGGCGGGCGCGGGAGGGGCCAGCGCCTCCAATAAGGAAAAAGAGGGGGAAAATATGATGGGAAAACGAAGCCTTAGGCATATGCTGATGCCGTTTCTATTTGCTGCTGCTGCTGGCGAGCGCAGTGGGCTACTACTGCCAAGGGCCATTATGCGGCCCTTGTCCATGCGTCTCGTTTGGGGGCCGGCCTTTGATGCAAACATCCCGCCCTAACGTAAAATATGTTCAAACTGTTCGCGGCGGTCACCATTAGTGCGAGCGTGAGGCAAGGTTTTGGCCAGCCCAAAAGGTGAGCCCAGCAACCACAAAAAAGGGAAAGTGTTGTTAGCGGTAACGCCGAACTACCCATAAGTAGGGAAATGGGTTTGGACGACCGCAGAAAATAATTAGGACAGGAGAGCTCATAGATGTGAACGCTTCCATACGCAGGACCGACAAGCATCTCGAGTACAGATTAGTGAGCCTAGCCCTGCTAGACACCTAATTGCGCCCCCCACACCATCTAATCTAGCACTGCAACCGCACATGAGACCGCATAAACACCCTTAAAGCATGCAAAGGAAGCGCTATGGACCGACGCAAAGCAAACGTGATGTTCCTACACCTCCAGACCCTCCTCCAGGCCCTCTACAGCACTCCCGTGATTTGGTTTTTGCATCGTTAGTATTGTGTAAAAATTAGTATTGATGAGCTGGCACTCTGTGTCGTAAACGTTTCAGCGTGACCCAACTGGCCGCGTCCATTCGCCTGTGTCGAGTGACATACAAAGGAAGAGGCAGAATTTGGCAAGGAGGCAAACACGGTGCAAAAAGGGATATTGTTCTACCGTGGCAACAAATGAAGGAGGCTTGAATTTTGCGTTGATTCATCACCTGTCTATAGGGTAGAAAGAAATTCCGAAGGCCCCATGCACTGCGGGGAGTTTGCAGCAACTCGCCTGCATAGCTGCAAAATGGAGAAGGTAAAAGCCAAAAATGTCAGCAACCATCCAACAGAAGGAATCCTCGTCACTTTCAGACGCCAGAACGCCGCAGCAAAGACGAAGGTGGTAATGTTTGCAAAACGAAGCATGTGAGTTGTTCTTTCAACTCCTCACCAACTCGCCCGCAATTTATGGTGAACCACTTGAAACAGTACTATGACTTGGCCAGCCCATCGCCAGCTCTGATTCATCTGCTCGAACAGGCTTCTTTACCCATGCAACAGGCTGCAATTCAAAAGTACCCACTGGGAGAACCGTGGGCGGGTGGTCGATGCAATCGATATTGCAGATTAAGTCTTCGCTGGTTGGCTTTACAAAGACAAATCATAGGCTGTGCGCACGCATCACCTAAGAAGAGGGGCTTGTACGCACGCCTGCGATAGCACAGTGGATATAGAGCGGCAGATTGCATAGGATACATTAATCTGTTGCTTTCTGGTTCGCTTCCGGGCGCTTCGACACTTTTTCGTACTGTTCTCAGCTGCCACTCAAGCACAGGAGGCATTCTCAAAGCATACCAAAGTATGTAGGCATGCTGCTTCCAACTGTTTCATATGGAGTGGCCTGTTCATCTATACACGATTATGCACAGTGGCTATGAAGTGATTTCACTTTGAAAGAGTCGACGAAGGCCGATTGCATGCTATGCTGCACTCCGTTTTCTATCTCTCAGCTGCAGGTAGTCTTGCTCTCTTCCTTCAAGAGACGGGTGGGTGAAAGAAAGGAAAAAGAGCTACCATTTCGGTGCATGCATCTTTTGAAGTAGCAGGCCTGTCAGAGGTTGGCAGATGCGTCGGTGCTTTTCTGCACGTTGGATACTGTGGCACAAGGCGGGCTTTAGCAGCTATCTACTGTTCTGGTTTACGCATTGAAATAGGAATCGTGCATATGCGACAGAAGTGGGGCAGGAGGTGCACCAAAAAGTGGTACGTCTCTTGGTACGCCCTCTCCTATCCTCGCCCGCTCTTGGGTTTGCGCCGGTGTACGCAGGACGCGTGCAGATTGGAGGGCAGGCCAGCGGATGTTGGGCGACTCGTGCGTAGAGTAATTTGATTCCACTGCAGCTCACGACAGCCCGCTGCCAAGATCAAAGAATCTTGTTACACGGGTAGCACCGCATGGTTGAGGGTAGCAAGAGCGATTTGCTTATCCCATTGACGCAGCGGGGCGGCCCCTGCTTGTATTGGATGGATAGTGCGCTTCGCTCGGGGAACTCATTTTCCTCCCCCGCCAAAGATTCAGTCGCTTCTCCCTCCTCGAACAGCAGAAATGGTCGCCGGTGAGGAGGCGACAAACGACGGAACGCTTCAGCGGAACAAGCGCAGTACCCGCATCCTATCAGACAAAAAGCCTGTTATCTGCAGAAATAACAGACGCCAAATGCCTCCACTTCGCCCAATTGCTCGGGTCTGAGGGGTGCCGAATCCTTTGGTTCTCTTAAGTTGTGCTTTTGCCTTCCAGATGCACCGAAGAGCTGCAGTTGCGACAGTTGGCATCGTCTTCGCTAGAATGAATGACAGACCAATCGACACAGAATATAAGCGAGGGTGAAATTTCCCGGTAATGATGCAAATTATTGAACCACTTTGGCAAACGCTGCAACATGGGTACACTCTAAGGGATAGAGGAGTAGGCTCCAGCGCAAATGAGAAAAGCTTGAGAGAGGAAGCCGCCAACAGAGCGCGCCGTCGAGAAGTATCAGTCCCAACGCCGGACTGTGAGCCTCCTGCTCAACAGTTCATTGTAGGGCTCTCCGCTGCAGAAAAGCAGTCAGTAGCCAGCTAACTTACGTTAAGGGAACGTGCAGGTGAACGCATGGAACTCGGCAAGCTAATGGGCACTTGCGCATGAAATAGCGAAGGAACTTGCGCTTATGCAGCCCCAGCCAAGAAGAAGAAAGGACCTGTGGACACAGTTCAGTTAAAAGCCAATGGATATTATGAATGTAAGCGCTGGCATTTCTGGCGGTTCTCCAAAAGATGTGAAGCAGACGGCAGCTGGCGGCGGATGCGACAACCAAAAGGCCTAGAAGACTCATTGAATAACGCATCTGCCTCTTTGGCAGTACTCAAGACCACACGATTCAAGATTGCAGGCGCATGGACGGAACAAGGGATATGGATAGCAAAAATGTTCAGCACCGCCTCCAGGTGAACAGCAAGGCAATCGGGGAAACCTGCTGGACCCCAGAGGGGCGCGGGGCACTGGTGGGGTCAGAAGAGGTAATAGTTCCAGCGGGGGTTGTGCCACCACTCTTCATGTTAATCGTCAGTACATACTTCTCCTGCATAAATCACGCGGCGAAGTGGGTCTGACAACTCAAGAAACGGTGACGAAGTGCAACCCACCTGTCCATTCGTCCGCTGCTGTGTCCAGGACGCCTGTGGGTATGAGGGTGGTCAGCTCCTCTTCACAAACTATCACACTGAGTATTTTGGGTGTGTTGCGGCTCACGGCGGGCTTCGGAGACGGTCGGGGACTCCCGTTACACACGCCCTTGAGCCTCTGTGCTCAGGATGCCTGCGGACGGGAGGGCCCCCCATCTGCTTTTTAAGAACTCGTATCGTAAGCACTCTAACTCAATTGTAGAGAAGCCAGCTGCTTTTTGGGAACCTTTTTCATGCGTACTCCGACTTCATTGTAGCTTACGGGAGTCCACTGTATACGAGAGGTAATGTGCTCATTGGGGACTCTTAACTCACGTAACCTCCATTGTAGCTCACGAGGGTCTTCGTACGAGAACAGGGCTTTCGCCGCATGGGGGCGGGGCATTTTTTGGCGCCTCTCCCAAACCACAAATGCAAGCAAATCTATGGACGAAAAACGCATACGAATTTTAAACATTCACTTGGTCCTCAGTAGCCACCCTGCGCAGAAGTAGGAATGCATATACCACCTTCGCATACACTATGCGTGACTGTGACTCATGAGATCTGCTCACACTTCCATCTACTCATGTCTGTCCATTCTCATAGGGGATAGTTATTCCATATATTTGGCAAAAACAATATTCAAAACATTGTGAATAAGCAAAACATATTTGAATCGGCGAAGTTACTCTTTCCCCTTCCGTCCACCCTACTAAAAATTGTACAACGCTTGCTGGGGGGCCCCAAACACCCGTTTCTTTAATGACTTCCAGAGGTACCACAGAAGCGTTTGCTTCATGGGTATGTTTTCTCTTCTGTTTGCATTACGATTTTTGAAGTAATGACGAATACTTCTGCATCATTTGTTCCTATGCACAGTGGTAGAAAAAATAGCAACGACTACCAGAACCCGGGTTGAGAGGGGCCGCCGATGATCTTGAAACCGCTAGCATTCCTTCGTCCGCCCTATCCATTTTGATTAAACAAAGTAGCAAAGTGCAAAATTAAACCCGAAACGTACCGCAATTGATGAAGAGTGAAGACAGGTACCTGTAAGGTCGGCAGTATGCGTCGAGGCAGCGGAAGGCTTGTAATATGTACCGAGGGAGCCAATATCGCCTGTAGAGCTCCTCGTCGCTTCAAAGGGCGGCAGAAGTCGTAAGGGCCCGCTTGCTTCCCTCCTTCATGCCGGTCCATTCTGGCAACGCACCACATTGTATGAACCCTGGCAAGTGCTTCACCGGCAAAGCTACCCTCAAGAGACGCTACTAATTGCTGCAGCAGAACCTGCTCCTGTAGCATTTGTCTCACTCTATACCGCGGCAGCTTGCATGTCGAACGACTCGTCCACAGTTAGAGCTTTTGCAACAGTTGAATGCTGGTATTTCGGTAGATGACGGTTGTTGTTCACCCGCAGAATTGGGTTCCCTCCTCTGAACTGCGTGTTTTTTGCATGCTTACTTGAACGATGGTGCAGAAGACTCTTTTGACATGGACTGGTCTGTTTGGGGAACTCTCCGCCGTCCGCGAGGCCGCCGGAGTCATGGGGACCCTTCGGCTCCCTAGAGTTCCTCCAGGGTCGCATGCCGCCCATCCGCTGGTTAATAAGGCGTATGCATGGGTTCTTAGCGTGCATAGAGGGGCTTTCGCTTCGAATAGATGGGACCGTCGGGTGCTTTGGGGGACGCGTAAAATATATTTTAGGGCTCCAGGGGGGTCCAGGTACGGCAACGGCGAATGCAAGACTGCGCTTTTGGCAAGCATTATGCAACAGGCAAGAAAGGGCGCCCATGCAAAAGGTCTAAAGAGTCTAGAAGGAACCGCTCCCCCTGCATCAGAGGCTAGCCGCCCGTACGGAACTGCTGCGGCTATTACTACTAGTGCTGCCGAAAAGCTCACCGACGCGTCGGCAAATACTCGAGTTTTGGCTGCAGGTGAAGATGCTGGTGAAGCTACAGATGACATTTGTAGCAGCAACGGCACCATGAGTAACTCTGATGACGCAACAAGCGACAACCATCTTGGCGGCGAAACCACAAAGACCACCAACGGAAGCATAAGCAGCAGCAACAGCAACAACAGCTGTAACGGGTCCGTACTTGGAGCATTAAACGTCGTACGTACAGCAGAAGAAGGAGACATTCTGCGGGGTTTGAAGGTACGGGCTCAATAAACTAAAAGCATCTTTGGGGTTTTAGGCTAAAACGCCAAACCTCTTACTGCGTCCTGAACTGCAGCTCCCCACTTTATATAGCATGGATCAAGGGCTCTCCATACGCAGAACTGTAGCTCAAGAAGCCTTCATTTATGTCGGGGTACTTCTCGTGTCCCTGCAGCTTTCTGTTTGTTCATCTGTGTGCCAGCAGCTGCTTGTATAGTCTCCTATTTTTGCTTCCAATCGCATGCCTGGCCTGTCGTTGTGGCTTTGTATATGCCATTGTCTGTTTCTGCATCTTTCTTCTTGCCTATGTCTTTTTCCGTGCCTAGGCCTCTGTATCTATATGCTTCTGCGTTGCACAAAACAGACGCATATAGATGCAGAGGCACCAAAGCAAACAAACGGACACAGCCCTCTGTGTCCGTGTGTTTGCTTGTGTGCCCTCTTCCGCCTCTGCCCGCCTATTTGCTTCTGTCTGTATCTGCCTTTATGTTCTTCGCCAATGACTGCCTCTGTGTACTTGTTTTAGCCACTGTCATTCTCTGCGTGCCGCTGCTTTTGCCAATGTCCGTGTGTGCGTCTTCTATTTCTTCGCCACTTCATATCTGTGTCATTGCGTCTTTGTGCTTGCATTTGTCGCTCTCTGTGTCTTCGTTTTTGTCTTCGTCTCCTTTTTTGTCCAATTCGTAGCTTCTGTCGGTGTTTGTGGCCGGATGCATGTGCCGGCCTTTCTGTTTGCCTTGGCATTTGTCTCTTGTTGCGTCTATGCTTCGGTCTTTGCCAATTTATGCTCCTTCGCGTGTATGTTTGTCTCGGTGGGTCTATGTAAATTCGTCTCTATTTGTGTGTGTGTCTCTGTATTTGCTCTGGCTGAGTGTTTGCCTAGCCGTGTGTCGGTGCCTTGGTTTTTGTCTCAGTCTTTCCACGTGGGTATGCTTTTGTGTATGCGTCTGTTTCTGCCCTTGTCTTCACACACGTCTGCCTTCGTCTGTCTTGTGTCTTTGGCGTCCTCTCAGCCTGTGTCTGTGCGCATATCTCCGTTCCTGTTGGTCTCTTTTTGCTTCTTGCGTGCGTATCTATGCCTTTGTCTGCGTCGCTGCGTGTTCCTGTGTTATTGTTTCTGTCCTGGGCCCTGTATTATTTCTTGTGCCTGTGTCTGTGTCGGTCACTTTGTCCTTACCTCCGGATGTTTCTTTGCCACTGCTTCTTTTCTGTCTCTGTCTCTTTGGTTTTGCCTATCCGTGCAAAACACAGACACCGTGAGTTCCACGGTGTCTGTGCAATACACCTGGAAGCTGACTAACCCTCTGTGTGCCTGGTGTAGTGTACATACAGGTGGGTACACTTACGTGGAGAGGGGAAGGCCTCGTGCGGCTGCTGCTGCAGCGATGGGGTCTCCAAGTGACAGCCAAATTTCCTCGCCTCCTTCCCAGGGAAATCATCACAGCCCGCCTTGAGACGGTGCAGCCTCGCAAAGGCAAATGCAAACTTGCATTCTTGGGGACAGAAATTATGGGTAGGCACTCCTGCTGCTGGTGATGCTGCTATTGCTGGTGCTTGTGGTTCTGTGACTGATGCTGATGGTGATGGTTGTGCTGCTGCAGCGGGCTGGCGGTGATCTACAGCTGCTGCAGCGGCAGCTGCTACAGCTGCTACAGATGCAATGGATCTGACAACCGCTGCCGTTACTTCTACCGTCGTATCTGCTGATACTGAGGCTGCTGCTGGTTGTGCTGCGTGAATATTGAATGCTTCCTTCCTCTAAAGCGTTTTTTTGGTTCGTTGCTGCTCCACAGCGTCATTGTCATGCCCACTAAGGCTTTAACTTCGGGGTTCAGGGTTGTCGTGCAGCTCCGGGGCAGCGAGCGTCCCCTTGTCCCCATTTCCTCGAGGGCTGCGCCGGCTGCCAGCTTATACACCTTGGCATTCGACATCAGCGCACCGCCAAGAAGCAACTGCTGCAGCAGATGTTGCAGGAGCTGCAGCGACAGCAGCAACTACACCAGCAGCAACGTCCGCAACAGCAGCGCGCGATCGCGGACCCTCCAACTGCCACATTGCTCGTCCCAGTCTCTTCTGAGACGCAGTCAGCAACACGCTGTTGGCCCGAGCAGCTGCTGTTGCTGCTGGAGCAACATCGGCGACAGACACAGAGACACCATCACGCAGCACTGGCCGCAGGAGCAGCTATAGCCTCAGCAGTGACAGGCACAAACAGAGGGAACAATCCTGACAGTTGCAAGTGCAGTTGCCGCAGCAGGTGTAGCCGCTGCTTCTCCAAGACAGATCTACATGAAAAATATTCTCCTTCAGGCTGCGTCTGCCTCAGCTGCTGCTGTTGCGTTGAACGCAGGTTTGCTGCCCGGGCGGATTTGGTGCTGCAGCTTGTGGAAGGAAGACCCCGATTAGGCCTTCCAGCCTTTGATGGGCGGAGCAGCATTGTCAGCGTTGAAGACTGCATTCGCCACAAAGGCCCATGTATAACCTGTTACTGCAGTGTGCTGCTGCGGATACTCCAGGGATTCACGATGCTGCTCCTATTGCTGCCGTTCCCGCTGTTGGTTGTGCTGATCCAAGCATGGGGCCTGCAGGCTGTGCGTTGTTCTTGCCGCAGTACGCGAGGTGCTCAGACACCTGAGGGAGGTCCTCCTGCCCCTTTTAGAAAACCGGCGGCTGCGAATACTGGACCAACGGAGCGGTGCAGGGACGCTGAGCGGCCTGACCCTCAGACTAGCAGGTGGGGACTGCGCTTTGCTGCTGCGGCTGCTGCGGGTTCTGGCGAGGCCTGTAAAATGTGACTGTGGCAGCAAGCTATATTCAAGTTGTTGGTGCTGAAACTGCTAAAGTAAGGTGGAGGGAGAGTTCCTTCCTGGAAGAATGCAGTTCGGCCGATGCGCGTGAACTGCATGCACTTTTTTGTTTATTCCTTGATGAAAGGGGCGCGTGCAAAGCCGCAGACATCAGGCCTAGTTCCAAGCCGCCGTTCATACACAAACAATGGCAACTCATCTGACGACGTCTCTTGGGAGGTTGAAGTGCGTGTTTTGGGTTCTAGCGGCAACGGCCATGCCGCAAGTGCGGACGCCCTAGCATGCCTGCAGATGTAATGTATGGGCCTTCTTTGAATGCAGAGGATTGCAGGGGAGGTGATCGCAAGGTGCTACTACGGCTAAAGGGACACCTGGAAAGCAGCGTACGGCCCCACCTCGTGCACCTGGCGGAGACCCTTTGTAAACGCTGCCCACTCCTCAAAGCTGTCACATTCTACGATCTTGGCAGGTTAACTCAGGCACCCCTGCTGAATTCTGGTGTTGCTGCTGCGGCATTCCATCTTGTTGCTGGTTTTCGCTTGCCTCTATGGTGCACGAGCTGCTTTTGCTTCTGCTGCCGGTGCAGCCGTTGCGGATACGGGGCTCCTGTATGTCTCTCCAGCGTTGCAGGCCCTATTCCCCCGACGAGGTCCTTCTTGGTGAAGATGCGCTGCTCGTCTCAGTGTTTGGCCGACGATATCGAGTTACAGGTGGGTTGTGGTGCTTTCTGTGTGTCGGCGGCTTGCCCTTCCTTCAACTCCACCTGATTTACTAGAGGTGGCCTGGGTGAGGCTAGCCGGTTTGGTATTTCGTCTCTTGTGGGTACTGAAGGCAAGCGCTGATTGTCTGAGTTGCATCGTTTAGGGGTTAACGCGTAGATTCGTAGGATTCACGCTGCAGGGGTAATAATTTAGAGTCCACCGGTGAAGCCTTAAGTGCTGGACTTGAAGGCTAAGTGTTAAGGTTTGCGTATAGGAAAAGGGGCTCCGCATCCACAGCTCATGCCTTTTCAGTGAGCATTTGTTTCAGTGTGTTCGTCTATGGATTTATAATGGGCTTTGGTGAGTGTACGTGTATATTCTATACTTCGCCCTCGCGTAGTGCCTCTGTGCAGGCGGAACGCGAGAGAGCATTGTTGGCAGTGGGAATTCGCTTCAACAAATATGGCCTGCGGTGAAGGATGCGGCAGGGGGAGTGGCGGGGCGCCTGTGGGGCGCCTTGAGTTCCGGCGGGTTGTTTGAAATTTTGCTGTCCTTCAACTTTAAAGAGGTAAGTGGAAATGCATTCGATAATGTGGGCAAACGGACAGCAACCGCACCAACCTGGCTGGCGTGCTGCACACATCTTGCAGGGTGGGGGCGTCCAAGGCTTTGTGCTTGGGCTGGGATTTGCGGCCTGCAGCCTCGTGGACAGGCAATATAGCCTGGCGTGGAGTAGACTCCGAAAAGTTTGTGAAAAGCTAACACACCAATGCAGAGAGTTCCCTCTCGGAGGGTCTGTAAGCAGACAGAACAAAACTGGGAGATACCAGTAGAGGCATAGGCAGTGACTAACACAGATGTGCGGCGAGTACCTACTACCCAGCAGGCAAAAGTTCCTCTTTAGCGCTCGCACTCTGTACTGGCGTGCGCAAATACAGAGTGCGCCAACGGCCACATGGAAGTAATTGGCGGCAGGCTATGCCTCGCCCCTCTTCTTCATACTCTAAAAGCCTGCTGCATCGCACCAATGGCCCAGCCGCAATATATCGTGAAATGAATGCGTACAGTTGCTTCTGAGGCCACTTCAGTCTTGTAATTTGTTACCACCAATAGGAAGGAAAAGACAAGAATATCGTGGAACCCTTGGGGCACTGGAGCTAACTGCGGGTTTGCAGGTGGTGGTGTTTGCCTCCGGAGTACGCGATGCGGAGGAGACCCGAAAGAACATCTCTCTTAATGAGTTGTATGGGGTCGAGGTTGTGCCGTGTACAGACAGCAGGTGAGTATCTGGGCCTGTGGGGAGGTGCTGGTCGCAGCGGGATGAGAGAAGTGACCGCGGCCTGCAGCCCCCACGGTCTCTACGAGCTTCAATGGACCAGCGCTTGCTGATGGTGTACGCAGGAGCGTCGCCGGGGCCTTCGCCGCCCGCTCAGGCTTCTATGGACCTTTACGGACGCTACGCCTCTCGCCTCACCTGCAGGTGAGGGGTCGAGGTACCGACTTGTCCATGCGCTCTGCAACTGCGAGAGCAGAAAGGGCCAGGAAGTGTCTGTGAGAAAGAACTTGGTAGTGTACATTCTGGAATGAAGGCGTTATTGCTATATTTGCAATGCGGGTTCATCTGGACTTGTGCTCACGCTGCAATTGAGGGTGATGCACTTGCAGGTGTAATAATCGTATTCTTTCTAGGTTGGGTGTGCATCGGTGCGAGTAGTTGCATTTATGTGCGTACATATTTCGTGTATGCTTGCATCCAGCAAGGCAATATAGAGGAGAAAAGCACCGAATGCTGCGTAGGGGAGGAAAGGGCCACTGAGGGAAAAGCACCGAACGGCAGCACCGAGGCTGCCTCCGCAGCGGCAACAGCAGCTGGAGAGTCTGGTGGGCAGCTTGAGGATTCATTTACCAATGAAGTTGCGCTCTCACGCAAATGTGTACAGTCGCATCCGCTTGTTCCCTCTTGAGTTGTCCGCAAAATTTTGTCCGCTTGTTTTATCCCGCAGAGACTATTAAGGCAGGGGCCTCTCATCTTCCTGATGTGCTGCTGCTGTCGCCTTCCCGTGGGGGCCTACCCAAGGCAAGCAAATTCAAGAGGGCCTTCTGCTGGATCCGGCCCGTATAGGTCTTTGACTGAAAAAAGCCGCCCTCGAGGCAGCCTATAGCAATGAGACTACTGCCATTTTTCTTAGTATTGTTATTGTTGTTGCCTTCCTCAATTTACGCCAAAGATACTCATCCGTGCATCCTGCGGCGAGGCTCTCTGTGTTGCGTTGCAGGATGTGCGGAGATGGGTGGCGGCAGCTGCTGTCCCTCGCATTGTCTACATTGCCCACGAGCAACCTGCATTTCTCAGAGACGCTAAAGCCCTCGTTGCAGCTGGGTAGGGGTTTTTGCTGGTGATGCGGCAGGTGGCAGCTCCGTCACAGCGGCGGCACTGGGATGCTCACCTGTAGTCTCTGCAAACAACTCACAATGGCGACGGTAGGGAAATGACATGTTTATGGATTTTGAGGTGTTTGTCGTGTTTCGTCGAGTGTATGTGCAGGTACGAGTTGGCCTTCTTCCAAGCCTTTGATATCTCCCCACACACAGCGGAAGTCCTGAGCGTCTCCGCCTTCTTGAAAAGGCATTTGGACCTCCCACAAGCGGAGAGCCCCCAGAAAGTGTCCCTGACGAGAGGGCTTCTGTCCCGCCAGGAAAGCGGGACAGAGGCCCGCTCGTGGGTTTCACTCTAAACGTAGGAGACCCAACTGCCTCTGCGTAGGGTAGCGTAAACCGCATGGAATGACGGCCGCCGTATATAGGTTCATTTGTGACCTTCCATGCATGGGGGTAAGCCCGCATGGGCATTACTTATGCAGCAGGTTAGGCTGCTACGATGGCTTTAGAGGGCGCTGCGCATCGTATGGTTAGCTCAACAAGGGGCAATGGGGCACCCGCTAGGCCATATTTAAGGCCTACACAGGTGCGAAATAAGGGTTTCGGTCCACTTCCCCTGTGGCAGTAGCTTCTTGCTACGCTTTAAACCGGAATCGCTAAACCGAATATGACGCACTGTCAGACCCTGAAGGAAATAGCGTCCAATACTTCCAAAACGAGATGTTAAATAACCAACGGTTTGGCCTTGTGGGCCAAGCCTGCCCAAAAGCATTGAACGTGGGGGGGCCTGAACCCTCAATCGCAGAACTTTTAACATTAAGGCCAATGAAAAGCCCTGTGTCAAATAACCAGAGAGCTTACCAACTTGTGCGCGTGCTACTGCTTGCGTAAGACTCGGTAAGCATCAGAGTTTCGAGCTAGAGGGGTAAGGCAGGGTCTGCCCTCCAAAAAGGGAACTGTATCGGTCGTCGTTGTTTTCGAATGGGCCGAAGCTGGCAAGAAAACACAGGTCAGCGTTCCGGATGTGGGATGAAGGAGCGCTAGTTTGGGCTGTTCACCAGAAACAGATAGGGTTTAGGATATGGCTGTCAGGAGGCTGTAGCAGGATTCGGTAGCTATAAACACGTACTTCTGGTCTTAGGTTCGGTAGCCCTCAAAGATGCTGTGGAACGCCTGGGAAGTGTCTCTTTCGTTGATTATGCACACGCCATCCGCTACGTAGCAAAGACACACAGGCTTTAGGGTTTGCAGGCAAGAAGCCAAGTGGAGGGCTGCTGACGCGCCTGCTGCTGATAGGCAGAAGGAAAAATTGTAAGATTGCATGACAAGACTACAGCTTTTTGATGCTGCCACCCTACGGTTTAGGGTTTGGGGAACCTTGGATGTGGGGCAGTTGAGCATTTGGTCATCTGGCCCGATGCTGATGACAGGAGGAAGGGTTCGAACTCCTTAGCGTCGTATCAGTGCGCTGCAGTCTCCAAAGGGCAAAGAAAGCCTTGCTCAACCCCTAAACGCTAAACTCTACCTCTAAGGCACTGAACATGGACCCACAAGTCTGACCCTAAACCCTACAGAGCAAACCAAAAAGCCGAAGTCATGCCTGGGCATTGTGTACACGAATGCAGCAAATTCAGTTGGTGACAAATCGCAAGGGATGTAGGCAGTCTCGATATGAGGCTGTGGCTTCTTTTACGTATGCTGATGTCGCTGCTGAAGCTGGTGCTGCTGCTCTTGAAGAGGCTGTAGCTGAGTATGTATGCACTTGGTGAAGCTGCGCAGCAAACATGCGGCAGTGAGGGAACCAGGAGGCTCCAAACAAGGTGGCGAGGTATTTTCCCCTAAGCTCAGTGGTTGCTGCTGCCTCCAAGCCATCAGTCTTTGCTGCTGCTGCAGCTGTTGCTGCTCCTGTTGGCGCTGTTGCTACTTTGGTGGCTTGCGCATGCCCTGTACATGATACTGATTCTGCTGCGGCTGCTGCCCCTGCAGCCTCACCAGCAGTTGCGTGGGAAGCCTAACGAGCTGCTGCTGCTGTCGTTGTGCCGTCTGGTGCATGCAGTGGCCTGCTGCTGTGCAGAAGACAGACAAATGCTCAATTAGTTGTGGTTGTTGCAATTGAGGCCACCCGTACCGTTCTTGCTGCTCTTCATCGACTCTCAGCCGTGGGACCCAACGCCTGCATGGCGCATCGGATCGACGGATCTTGGTAGAGCCCCAATTACTGCATTTCCCGAGACCTTGTGTCAAGAAAATACAAGCTAAGACCTAGGGCCTACACCTAAAATCCCACTCTTTCAATGGCTTATAGAACAACGTACGCTGGGTAAGCCGCCGTCGACAGCGCAAAAAACCGATGCTGCTCCTGGCGTGTGTACAGCTGCTGTACGGGCGTTGCCATACTTAGCCAACGCTAAGGCATCATTGCATCTATACAATATACAACGCAAGCACCTGTGCACGTGAACAGAAGTGCGCACGCCTAGGCATGATACTGACATTGAAGTCCAGTAAAAGTCTGCTTGTTTGAAGCAGTGCAGTCACTGCCATTCCTGTGCTGTGAGACACAGCTTTCGTCAGCCTCTAAACAAAACCCTGGGGAGCTGCGCTAGTTTAAAATAGGCACAGAGCTCCCAGGGAGGCGCCTGCTAAACCGCCTCCTCCCCCTTCAGCCCCCCAGACCGTGGATCCCGCACTCAGGCTACAGCGATCGAAGCGGCGAAATAGCAGAATTAGCTGAGACGCCGCATGAGCAGCACCAGAGCATTGATGGCCGGTCGTGTCGTGAATTATCGAACCTGGTGACGCATTCTGCTGACCCTTCTTGTGGCCTCTACGGGCCTGGGCTGCTAGCGTTGCGAATACCAGCCCCCCTCCAGCTGCGTGAAAGGTCCCCTTCAACAGGAAAAACGTGCTCACGCATCTTATGAGCACATACTTCCCACGCAAAAAAGCAACACTGGTGGTAGTGCTGCTGCTGCTCCAATGGTACGCTGCCGAACCTTATAGACGTCCAAGCGTTACCCAAGAGAGCCCAGATTTTGTCGTCTTGCGTGTTTTCATTCGCTCTCTTCTCAAATGTAGAATTCCTGGCACCTGTTTTTTTCTGCATAGCCATCACAATACAATTTGTGGACAGTCCGTTTTCCACTCAATCACCCTTTCTGGGATGCTGGTTCGCTGTTCACCAGCACTGCACCTGTAGGCGAACTTTCAGCTAGATTGGTTGTCTTACAAAAGCGAACAATTATATAGCTTTTGCTAAGGCTTTCCGCTTCGACATTTGGTCCGACTAGGCGTGAGCGAGAACCACTGAGCAACTGCTGCAACTGGCTCCGCGATACAACGTGCTCTGCTTCGATGGATGTATTCACGCATACCCATCCATTCTCTGTGTGGACAGACCGTCACACATCTCCCTAAAACCAGAACACTCAAAGACGTCCCAACGTCTGATACCTGTGGAACCACTTACCAACCAACGCATGCACACAAACGCAGCTGAAGCAGTCGTGTTTGTTTAGACTGCCTGTGGCAAGCTTGTGCCAATTCAAAATGCATCGAAGAACTAGACGCTTGAACAGCCAGCTTCAAAACACATATGGAACGTCTATGAACACTTCCAACGGACCTAATACACTCGTAGGCAACCGTCCGTCGCTGCTTACTGGCCGCTTCACCAATGCGCCACGTCACTGACCCACACAGTCCTAAAAATAGAGTTTCTGTTCCTCTGTGTTCGATTCATGCCAAACGCATGGCTTCAATACCTCATAGTGGCCATCTCTCCATACCCTGGTTTGCTGCCAGTAAGGCTCACTGCTAGCTTCCTCAAATTAACATCCCCGCGCTGATACAGTCCACTCCTCAGCCCACTTGCTGATCTGATCCAATGGATCAGGCCTCCACCCGCACCTGCAACGTGTGCTCTTCTCATCCTTCTTGTTGTACTCCATGCGTTCGCTTTCACTTGCAGTTCTACTGTGGCGCTCGCTCTGTCTGCCATTCACCCGCAATAGTTACCGTCCTCAACGCTCCCCTATAATGCCACCTGTGACACTCACTTTAAGTTCGGCCAGCGCAAGCATTCAGCTTTACTGATTCACCTTCTTCACTGGCGATGGAAACACTTAGTATCTCAATGAACGCCTGCCCTACTACTACGACTACTTAACCACAAAACAACTACTTCCGCCTTTTTCTTGTCACCCGTTTGCGCTCGTCTTAATTACCGTGTTGACTGAGTCCCCCCCCCCAAACAATGGGATGCCTTACGCATGCGTTGACCTTTTAGACTGGCCCGAGATGTAACCGATGGGGAGACCCAGATGAGCCCCCTCCCTCCTCAGTAGGAGACAGATTAACTAAGACTTGCTTTTATCTCACTGCTCGTAGACTGTTCCATCTCTGCAGCTCAGATATCAAAGCTTGCTCCCTACCGTCCACAGTTTGTATCCCTGTTTAGTTCTTGATGGGTCTGATCTGGCCTCCCCCCGTCGTTTACCTACCACAGCAGGGCTACAGTTTACCGTCGGCTACCCACTCTCTCCTCCATTGCTTGGAACGAAAGGCCTCTACAAAGCCCTACCCCTTTACCTAAATACTAAACCGCTAAGAGCAATAGTACGACTGGAAGAGAAGAGTAAGGGCAAGCATTCGCTCCGTGTAAACACGCATCTCCGAAGATCCCCTCGATAGCAGCGAAAACCGCCTCTTCTGCACCAATGAGAAAGGCCTCTGCCTCTTTGTATTCTTGCATTTCAGGCCTGCCACTTACGCCTGCAGCACCTCAGTTCGGTTGGTTGGCTTCTCAGCACGCTTCCGTCCTATGCTCCGCAGCCGCCGCCGTGAAGTGTGTAAGCACATCCGACGCCTCCCCTGCTACTCCCCACTTTTAAAACGCTTTCTATTGTACGCATAGGCATTTTGAAGCATGAAAGCTGCATATGATATCAATCACACACTCATTGAACCGACGCGTCCCAAATCATGAATTCCACTCCCCCGTTGCATGCATGGCACGAGCGTACATACAACTCCCAATTCACTATCGCTCCAAGTCATGATCACACGAGATGCAGCACATGCATATTTTAAGAAAAACGCGCTGTCATCAACAGCGCAAGCGATCGGACGGCAGTCGCTGAAAAAGTGTGTACACTCTTCCAGCCTTCCCTCCCTGCCGCTTCCGAATAGTAGTAGTTGAATTTATAATATACATCGTTCTATTAATAATATGTGTAGAAAAACAATATGCAGGCGTCTCGCGAAGCGGACAGTCGCCAAAGAAGTGTAAATACACCTCTCATGCTATAGCTCACCATGAAATATGTATATATGCATGCATGCATAATTTCATGTACATAATGTATACATACACATGTACGCATAAATTATATTCCAAATATGCGCCGATTTATCGGTGGAAAGGGCACCTTACACATAACGACCTGTAGGTGTGCATCCCTTAAAACGTGTCTTTAAAAACAAGACTTTAATCTCGAAAGTGCGCTCGAGACGCCCTCCCTTTTCCAGTTGCTGCTGCTGCTGGAGCGGTTACATCCGCTGTCTGCTGTTGCTGGTGTGCCGCCGCAGCAAAAAAGCGCGTAGACGGCCAGAGAGAGTCGATACAGTATGACATAATGCGAGCACAGAGGCATTCGACAAGACTACGGCATCATCAACCCACTAAAAAAGGGAAGGGGAGAACAGTACGGAGGGGGCGAAGACAAGTGAACGACGGACGACAGCCACATACCAAAGAAAGGCAAATGAGATGGAAGCCAATATCTAAGAGCTGAGATGTCCGACGGTGGCATAACTTGCAGGAAAGGAAGAACGAGAAGACGCAACGTGGCGACAGGCTGGTACAAAGAGAAGGAAAAAACAACGGTAGCGAACTAGCAGCGGCAACAAATATTTCACACACAAGATGGAACTCATATGATGATGCAAGGAAGAAGCAGATGACGTTCCACACTCACACGATAAACCAAACACAGACATATGCAAGCCAGAGACGAACAAGAGAAAGGCGCGCCAAGAAAGGAAAATATGCAAGGGCACAGAAGGGATGAAGAGACACCGGCAAGGACGGCCGCAGGCAACCAGATGGAAGGCTCGTATGTAGAAAGGCTCCCCATTTCCCCCTTCACTCGAGGCCCTTCCGCTTCAGTTCCTCCGAAATACACAGCCTGTAGTCAGCGAAGAGGTGGAAGCAGTTGCGGGACATGTCACCCTGTAATGAACACAAGCGGTGGAGACAGCCGTTGCTACACATGACGAAGAGCCATAAGCAACTAGTCAGCGGGCATGTCAGCGCATAAAACATTCAAGAGGGAGCAGAGAAAAAAGTGAGGCACCGCGAAACAAAAATACACATGACATACGCGCTCAAGCGAGGCAGGAACAAGCAGAAGAGCTGACAAGGAGACGAAGGCGCAAGGACGTAAAGAACTCAAATCGCTAACAGCGAGGAGGAGGCCACGACACGAAAATATTCACAAAATGTAGACAGTAAAGAAGAACCACGTTCGAATTCAGGACGGACAGATGATCGGACAGTGACGACGGGGGACGGCAGACCAAAGGGAGAGGCGAAAGCATCCGAGGAACGAGCAAGAGAGGCAAATAACGGGACAGAAACCATGTAAAGGGGTGAGCAAACATGACCGTCACATGAAGATACAGATACCCCGAAGGGCTCAGAACAAGGAGGCGGCGGGCCGAAGCCTTCCTCACACGGGCAGACGAGCCAAAATGGATGGGAAGGCAAGAAGCCGAGAGAGACCAACAGCAAAGGCGACGCATCATTGGAAATGCACGGAACCAACGACGCGCATGAAAAAAAGGATGGCGGCATGGGCATGTTGACACAAAGACGTCGAGGGAAAGTGTAGATGCACATAACGCAGATAAACGTTAAGGGGCCGAAGCAAGTAACACGCACACACACACGCACACGCACACGCATGCACGCACACACACACGCACACGCACGCACACAAACCACCAGAGATGAACGGAGAAAATAGTGACAGTCCGGAACAAACCCTTAGGAAGTGTCGTCGGTACCAATGGTTAAAGCACCGGTCATACTGTTCCTTCAAGCCCGAGCATGTATCCATCTGTGGGGCGCACGCAGCCGCAGCAGTCCAAAAGTCTGCAGCTACATAAGCCGAAGGAGCTATCCCCGAAGCAGGAGAGACCTATACAGCCTTTGGGGGGGAAGAATGTTAAATGGAGGGTTGTACTGGCGGGTGTAGGACTAACTGCCTCTCGCATCGCCGTTGCACGCTTCTGCAGTTCTTCCGGCGTCCGCTGCGTCGCTGACGACGTTCCCTGCGTATCCGTGCTGTTGCTGCTGTCGGTGACGTTGGTGCTGCTGTTGGCGTTGTTGTTGCTGCTGTCGTCGTTGATGCTGCTGCTGTCGTCGTTGATGCTGCTGCTGTCGTTGCTGTTGCCACTGCCGCGATTGTTCCTGTTCCCACCGTTGCTGTCGGGCTCGGTGCTTGTGGAGCTCGAGCTGCTGCCGGAGCAGCTCCTGCCGCAGGTGCCATCGCTGGCAGAATCGTGCCCACCGCCGCTCCTTCTTCCGAATAACAGCATTTATCCAAGAGTGCGACACAAAGCAACTCTCCAGCGCCGGCAAGCTGCTGCTGCTACTGCTGCTACCAAGGCTGCCTCGTCGTGTGCTGTTGGTAAGAATGCCTAGTCCGACGCCACCGTGTCGGTGGCCTGTCCTTGTATTGCCGCCGTTGGCGTCACCCCTCCGCCTGTGCCGGGTGAACCCGAAGCTACTGCCCCGCACCAAGTTGAGCAGCCCCAATGTGTCGAAGTCTGGTGCCGAGTATGAGCGCGGCCGTTGTGTTGGATCGCACAGACCGCAAGTGCAAGCGGCGCCGCTCAAGCTGCCGCCGTCGGTGGGCCGAGGGAGCAGTTGCTCAAACAGCTCCTCCTCGTGTCCTCGCAGCTGTCGGCGTCTCTCTCGCCTTAGTTGGTATTCTAGCTGCTGTTGAGTCCTGGGTGGGAACCTCCGCACGTAAATCGGCCCAGAGTACCGAAAGGGTGACGCGTCTCTCAACAAATAATACGAGAAGACCAACGACACCACCAATAGTAGCAAAGGAAACCACACTGCATGAAGAGGAGAAGAACTTCTATATGCTGCACAGAAAATCAAAATAAGCATAACAATTGACTGCAGCACTTGCTGCACAACAACAAGTAACCATGGCATACTGCAGCTACCCCTGGGCTTTGTCGTTCACTCGATTGCTGCTGCTGCTGCTGCAGATGAGGCAGCACACTCGCTCGAAAAGCTAGTCTTCCTGGTTCAAAGGTTTCTTCTGTCGAGGAATGAACTAAAGAAGGTAAGTTCCATTCCCTATATGACAAAATAATGCAAAACACCACTCAAGACGTGCAAACGAAGGCTCCAGGTTGCACTCCGAATGGCACGGCCTGGGGGGTCCTTGCTGCTTCCGAAGCATCAGCAGCAGCAGCAGCGGCGGCAGCAGTGGCGCCCGTGGAGGCAAAACAAGCAGGAGAGGCATCAAGAGCACATTATGTGCTGTTATTATGCCTGCTTAATTATCAGCTGTTATACATCCTTCATGGGGTAGGGGGAGCACTGGAACGCAACAACAACAGTGGAAACGGCAACCAGAAGAAGCGGGAGTTTCTGAGGCGTCGCAAGTGCTGGGACACACCCAGCATAGCGACTTGTTATGGCTTCTTCTGCTACTTTCAAGATGTGATGTAGGCTCCTTATACAGAAATAGCACGGGGAGTAGCAATAGCAGCACGAACACCAGGACATCAGCTGTGGAGGGCCTTGTAGGGGCGGGAGCTGCAACGGCAGGGGCATTGACGGACTCTTGACTTCCCGCCGCATGCGCTGTGAGCCTAGTAAACAACAGTAACACATGGAACTTTACAAGGAGTCGCGGTTTCGGCACTAGCAGGAACAGCGGGAGGAGTCGCGACAGTGGGAGCGGCAGCAGCGTACTGGAGAGTATGTTGCACTTTTTGGAGGTTGTGGCGGCAGAAGGGGCGCAATTACCTACAGGAGAACGACAAAGGGGACAATGCAGCCGTGGAGGCGGCAGGGACAGCCACAGCAGCAAGAAGTGGGTGGCCGCTCGGATGTAGGTGGCGCCAATTCGGTGGGGGATACCGGGGAGGTCCCTCCATCTGTAGTTTCCAAAGATGAAGGGAGGGGGCTCGAAGAAGAACGACCGGGAGGAGGAAGAGCAGCAGCTGCTGCGGCACTAGGTAGTGGAGCTTGCTTACAGAAGGGACACGCTGGGGGAGCAGCGATAAGCATTCCGACTTTTCAGACGCGTACATGTGATGATGACAATACAAAGCCGCAGCACAGCCCAATACCAGTCCAGCTGCACCAGCCGAGGCCTCGTGTAGGCCATACAATCAGTCCATTCAACCTGTTGATTGGGGCCTCGCTGCAGCAGCAACGACCGGAATCAAAACAGCAGCAGCGAACACTAACGTGCACTCGGGAGCAGCTCGAGCAGAACAGGCATCAGCACCTACAGGGTACTGGCTACCCTATCTCGTCACCTCAGGGAAGTGGTAGAGGCGACAACAAGAGCGGCAGCCTCAGCGCCAGCGGTGTGAGCACCAGTAATGGCGGAGACAGCAAAGGTAGCAACAGCAAGTGCAATGGAGACAGCAGCAAGTGCGGCAGCAGTAGCAGCAACAACGGCAGCAGCGCTAATGCGGATATGCATTGGGCTCGCTCGCTGGTCAGGCCGGTAATTGTTGGTGGCTGCTGTGCTGCCGCAGCAGCAGCAGCAGCAGCAGCCGCACCCAACGAGTTCTTGCACAGAGTCATTGAAAGTGAGCTGCAACGGCGTCGAGTTGCCTCAGTCCGCTTTTTTTGCCGCGCATCTTAGCCTTCACTGAGTGGATCTACTGAACTGGGTTGCGTGCTACTCCTGCTGCAGGGACGAGTGATGTCATGGGAGACGCCTTTTTGGGATTCACTGCAGCAGAAGCAGCAGCAGCTCTACGGCAGATACCGTTTTCCATGTTGCAACAGGCAGCGGCATCAGCAGCAGGACGGCAGCAGCAGCACCACTCGTTCTTGCCCGGTAATTTCGCGACACCGCTACCCGCAGGGACAGAGAAACGAGGAATCTCAGCAGCAGCAATCGTGCTTGAGAGGGACTGGCTGGAGAGGTATATATCTCTTCTGTGTGCTGCTGGCACCAAGGCCTGGCTGTGGTGGCGCTTGCCGCTATACGCGGCCCCAGGGGGGCCGGGTATTACTGCTGCTGCAGCTGCGGCCTCTGGTGTAGCGACTCCAGAGAACCGTGTACACCATGCTGCTGCTTCAGTTTCTGCCGAGAGGCAGTGCTCTGCGGTTGCTGTCTTCGGCGGGCGAACGGCCAGTGGCGCCCTAGCAGACAATGAAGTGAGTACTGCACCTGGTGGTTCTCCTGGAGCTGCTGCCCGTGCTGCTGCTAGTATTGCTGGTGCTGCTGCCTGAGAGCGTGCAACTGGGAGGGCTGGAGCAGGCGGTGCTGGAGCGCAGAAGGGAAAATGGTGAGGCGACAGGGTGTAGCCCGTCGCCGCTGCAGTTTGCTGCAACGTTTAGGTTGTTAGGGTAGTGTTGCTGTTGGTGAGGGCTTTCTCATAGACGCTGGCGTTGCATTGGAGGGGCCCTTCCTCAGCCAACCCGCAGGGGCCTGGCTGAGGAGGGACCCCTGAAATGTATGGGGGCCCCCATGTATTTGAATGTGCGTATCGGACGGAGAGGGGGCGCGAAGGGTTTTAATAGGGGTGGGGGGTTCATCCGGTGAATACATGAAAAGACAAGGAGTTGTGCTGCGGCTGCTGCAGCTATATCTGCTAGAGGTGACGCCACTGCTGTCTTTAGATTTGCCTTTGTACATACTGGGGGATTTGCTGTCTCTGTCACTTTCTGAGCCCGCTCGAGGAGTTTCTGGAGCCAGTGCGTCTCTAGATGGTCCAGCTGAAGCAGAAGCGGGGGGAGCACCACGCACTGCTGTCTTTGCTGAAGTGGGGGAACGAGTGTCCTCAACCTGCGCGGGCGGAGCAGACCAGCGAGTCCCGGGGGGGTACTGCAGCGGCGGCAGCAGCACCGGCAGCCTACCGTTGCTGAGATGGAGCGTGCCGTTGTGTCTCGGTCAGAAACCTTCTCCACGGCTTGGTCATTCTATGGTGTATGCGGAGCCTCACCTGATCCTATACGGGGGCAAAGATGGACGGTAACCTTATTCAGGCTGCTGTTGTCGGTGCTGCATCTCTACTACATGGCTGTTGCTTCTGTTGCTGCTGCTGCTTTCGGTGCTACTGATATTGCGGTTGTTCTCAATCTACAGCATATTCGTACGTTGCTGTTGCTTAGGACAGTGCCGGGTTTCATCTGGGAGACTTCAGCAATATGTCGTGTGTATATGCTGTTGCCGTTACAGGGGTCGGCTGTTGAATGACGTTTGGCTGCTGGACATATTTGATTGGCGACCGGTGGCTGGGCCTATTGCAGCAAGCGAAGCTGCAGGAGTAGGAAGTTCTGGTGACGTGGATCCAACGTCGGGATCAGGTGGAGGTGCAGCTGCGGCGGGATCAGCACGGGATATCACCCTGTCTTGGATATATCTGGATTTCTCATCATCTCCTCTGAAACCTCCCGGACGTTTTTTACATTCGTGCAGCGTGTTTTATACATCCGCAAATGACGGGTCTTGCAGCATTGTACGCATGGCTGCTGCCTCCTCCGCTGGTCTTCCGTGCTGCGGTGGCTGCCGGGAAGAATGGTTTGATTAATGCCGTTGCGTCTCGAACTCATTTGCTGCAGTATACTCAACAGTGTTCGTAGTATGATGTTCCACACGTGTTGCAGCTGCCACTGCTGCTGTTCGCCCTTCTGCAGCTCTTGCTGCTCGTGGGGATTAGGGTTGTGTGAGTACGTCGGGTGGGGCTGTTGCAGGTGATCGGGGGGGGCTGGACTTCAGTGGTGCTTCCGCGCTCTCGCCTTTATGCTCTCCACAGGAATGCAAAGGGACATTGGAGGCATGTGGGTCTAGATCTGTGCAGCAGCAGGAATTGGAGCAGTAGGAGCAGCGACGGTGGTAGTGCTCGCAGTAGTGTTGCACGTAGTACTGGGAGTTGTGGCATTACTTGTAGAAAGGACAGTTGCATGTAACGGCAGTGGCATACGCAGCTCCTGAATGAGCAGAAGAAGACCCCAGGTAGTAGAGTAACCGTAAAGTATGAGGGAACCAGCAGCAGCAGTAAGTGCTCGTGCTTGTGACTTTGCAGGCCATCCTCCCAGTACGAGTTGCGAGTGCAGCAGATAGACGATTTATGCATGGTAGGCGATCCCCTTGTCATTTCCACCGTGTTCAGTGACCATATCACTGGCGTTCGCCGTTGCTTTTTTGTGCCTCTATTTCTGTTCTTGCTGCTGTCGATGCTGCTGTTGGACTTGCCGTTCACAGCGAATCTGTTCGAGGAACTAGTGCTCTTAAAGCACCGTGCCTTGATGGTAGTGCGGCTGTTGGATTGAGTTGTTGCATCAGACGAGACGTTCTGTGGCGAACGGTGCTACGGCTGCCATTGCTTTCCCGTGTGCTGTCTTCAGTGGCTTACTTGTGTTTGCTGCTGTTGCGTGTGTTCTAGCGTCAGTTTGCGCCGGTTCTTCTTTATTTCTGTTAGGCGGTCTTAAGGTCCGCCTTGGAGCTATTCCGTACGCCCACAGCACATTTCGAGTACCGGCTTTTGTTAGGCTTTGCATGTCTTCGTTCTGCGTGTTCCAAGTTCTACCGTTCGCTCCTCTCTCCGCATTCAGTCTCCTCTGTCCCATTGCTCGTCGTTTGCAGCTTTTGGATGTGATTGTATTCGCGTTTGCTGCTGAGTTTCGAGGTGTTGGCTGCGGATATTGTGGAGGTTTGCACTGCAGATGCGCTGTCGTATCCCCCGTTCTCTCTCACGACCTTCAGAGCCACCGGAGTGCCTCCTTTCCCCATGCGCTTATTTCTGCTGTATGTGTACTGCTTTTGCCCTCTCTGCTACAGACCGCCGCACCTGCGTTCACAGTTTTTTGTAGCGCTGGTGCGCTAGGGTGCAGCTGCTGGTAGGACAGATTGGTGTTTTAGCGTCTTGAGTGCTGCGCTGTCCGTGCTTTGGCTTTTGCTGTTTGTGCTGCTGCTACTTCTGCAGTTAGTAGGCCACCAGGCGTGGCAGATCGGTGGACGAGTATTCTGTTTTGGAGGCCTCGAAATCAACGAAGATGATGCTGGGCCTCTTCGCCCTGTTCCTGTGCACCGCGTGGTCGTTGTCGATGCGTGCGGTGAGACCGAGCTCTAGGGTCGTAAACTACCTTTGGTAGCCAGCTAGGTAGCTAGTTAGATAGCGAGTAAGGGTCTCGGGTATTTGTCACGGTTTTTGGCGCATCGAGGTGAGGATCGTCTGTGCGCTTAGCCAATGGCGAGCTAACCACCCAGCCAGCCATCTGGCAGTTTTCACCTATTATGCCGCGAATCAAGCCAGCTCGTGCTGGTGTTCAATCTACCTATAGCAGAAAAGCTACTCATTCAGCCACAAAACGGTCAGCTGTTTTGCACAGCCGTTTGAATTGGATGTCTGGCTCTTGGGCGTCCCAAACGGTGTAAGGCCAGCGGTGGAATGCAGCAGCCTGACGCTTTTATGGTTGAAAGCGGAGGGTTAAGGGTTTAGTTTTCGGGTTGCTGGGCATGTGCGTGGTTTGACACAGAGTTGCTTCCGGCTTCGTATGCGGAGGCGCTCCTGGCAACCCGCTATGAGACGCGGTTGCAGCTGCAGCGGCGCGCTAGTGGGGTTCCGGCGGCAGTCCCTAAGCGTCCGCTTCTCCCAGCTTCAGATGATTCAGTAGAAGTGGGGGACGCCCATTGCCTCACAGGCAGTTACGGGGGCGGCAGCCACGTGGGACAGAGAAGTGTGGAACGACAACGGCCACCAGGAAGTGGTGTTTTGTACAGCAGCACTGGTGCGATTCTGCCTCAACGAATGACGCGTCCAGGCACTGCGCCAAGAAGCTTGCCCACGGAGGCATCACTAGCAGCAGCGGTACGCGTAGCGGTGACTCCCGTAGCAGCGGAAGGTGGTAACATCACAGCCTACTCTCCGAGGGAATGCGCACCTGCTGATGCGTCTAGATCATGCATTGGCAGCAAGAGGCCATGCTCCAGGCCTTGGCGGTTTGATTCCTCTTCACTTTCGAAACAAGAGCAGACGCCAGACGCAACTGCAGGAGCAACGGCTACTGCTGCCCTCCCAGATGATGTTGCTGCGGCTGCACACGACATGAACGCGTGTACAGCAGCTTCCTTCGAGCAACTGCAGGGACAAGGGAGTAGGCAGGAGGGACCTGAAGGAGACCCAGCTGTTCCAGGAGTTATCCATTCACCACTCAGTCTTGCTGTTGGGGCTGCTGCCGCTGCGGCTTCGAGTGAGACGTGCCATCCGCCAGACACGACAGTCTGCACGCCTCGTCGTTATCGGCGGATGGCAGCTCTGCAGGCACTGGAGTCTTTTAAGCTGCTTCCCGACACTTTGGGCGGAACTTCCACCTCAGCGCCTGCCGGGGCATCTTCGGCAACGACACGAGCAACAGAAGCTGCAGTAGCAATGCCATCAACAGCGAAAGGTATTTAACTCATGTTTACCAATGGTATCGCAACGAAGAGCGTACGAAGAAGAAGTTCAAGACGCCAGGAGGTGTGCACTAGCCGCAGTTTTATCGCCAGCCACTTGCCGTGTTAGCATGAAGTTGCCGCATATGCTGCAGCAGCAGCAACCTCATGCTTGCTTTTGGGATATTTGAAGAACGTCACCTGCAGAGTAGACGGACGTCCTTTTGGTCTGGGCTTCCCCGTATTCTGCTGCAGGTGCAGCAACAGCAAGCGATAACTAGAGGTCATGCAAGATTACCGTAGGTCTCCTGTAGGCACTTTTTAGAAGGGAACTTTCCAAAGAATGGCATGCACTAGCCTTCCCTGTTGTTTTCATCTGGGCTCTACAGCATAACTCTTTTTTGGGGTCCTGTAGAATCTAGTAGGTTTCACATCCAGGTGTTGGCTTTTCTATCTACAAGACTACACTAATGATAGAATAGTCTAGTATTTTTTGTGATGTGGTACGTCAGTCCTTGATGAGGAGTTGTAATCTATGAATTCGGCCCGTTAGACTGAAAAAGCCAACGCGTCATCTCATCGAGAGTTCTTGTGCGATAGAAGGATCCCTAGGCCTGAGGCTTAGTTGCCTCTACTCCTTCCAGGGGATACGGTGCCATTCCTGCCAAGATTCCGGTACTTTTTGGCCTACTGAACCAGCCTGGGGTCAAACAAGTTCGCAGAGAGCTGTAGGAGATACATGGCATGCGCATGGATCGGACATCCAGGACTATCTGGCTCTTCTGCCTTCTTGTTACCGAATTGTTTTTGAAGCTTTCCGCTACCAAACTTCGCCCATCTGCCCCTACTGTTCTGGGGCATGCGACAGCGGTTTGCATCACCTCTTTACTTCCCCTAGGCGTAGAAACACCTCTACCTTAAAAGCGCATCAAGAATCGCTTTTTGTTCAGCAGCTGCTGCACCGGCCATCACATCTATTTCGCAGGGCGTGTCCTTTAGCGTTGCAATTTTCGAGGACTCATATAAATACCCTCCGTACGTGTCAGCACAGGCTGTGCAGGAAACGAAGGATCGTTTTCCTGGAGACGAAAGCCGGCAAAGCGGCAACTCAGTAAGCTCTTAACTCGAAACGAAAACGTTACAGCTCAGCACTTGACTTGGTTAACACGTCGGCCGAGGATGAGATACAACGACCATTATTAGATGAAACAGATTCGAGATTCGACTGACCAAAACGCAGCTCCAGTCTGCTTGCCTTCCGAGCGAAGCACAAGAACCGGCGCCTAGTGCGGAAAGGGTGGTCATGTGTTCTGCGGCAACGCAACCCTAGGGGCAAACGCAACCACCAATCCACCGTTGCTGCGCTCAGTAACACTGTATACAATTCTGATACATAGTGGGCCCTCAACGAATAGCCTGCACCCAATTACTAATACATCAACTTATGACTGGCCAAACCACCCCATAGCGCTGCCGTTAACTGGCAGCTAAATAGATTGTGCGACAGCTCCTGGGCACGTAATCTGCCAATTGTTCTATTCAAATGGACTACGAGAGAGCATGAATCCTGAGACCCAGCAGCCTCCAGTGGCGATGAGGCTGTGCTTGTAATGCCACTCGGAAAGTCACCGCACACCCCGTGCAAAAACTAACTGAATATCAAGCTCACTTTCCATTTTGCCTTCTAGACTTGGTATACTTCCTATGGAATGCAGGGCCTTGCGCACGAGGAAGGATGAATTTGCTTTGCACTCTGGTGGTGGCCGTCGATGCGCCACAATCGTTCGTGTGTAGGCCCAAAGCCTAGCATAGTTTTGGTGCATTTCGCGTGAATATTGATTGGTAAATGAGTCTCCGCACAGGAAGATAATGCAGTTAGATGAGCGGGAACCCTTTGAACACAATGGGCGCTGCCCACTGGTGCTGGGCTGCCCACGAGTACCCAGCGGTCTCTCAATTCGACCCTCCGCAAACACCGCTACTTTTAGAATGCGCATACACGCTTTACCCTGGTCACTCATGTTGTAAATAAGAACAGCAGCCAGGGGTATAACGCAGAACGGTGTCTCACCATTGCTGTTGCCGGACGACGTGGGGCGGAAGACTACTGGCGCGCGAGACACGCCCTTCCCGCCCAAGACCTGCACGCTATGCCTGTGCGCGTTTGCATGCTACAAAATGAGCATTGCAACTTTTTTAGTTGTTCTTCCCTGAGAGCGTCGAGTAGATCCCAACTTTGAGAATTTCCTGGAGTCTTTCACTGTACTTCCTGATGGTAGACTACACTGGGAGTTGGAGCGAGTCGAAGGGCAAACGACGGATCCTGGGGAGGGTTGCCTGGGAAGGTGTAACTGTAATAGAGCCTGGCCGAGGGAAACCTACATCTAGATTTCTGTCAAACGCCGTGAATACCTCATCTGAGTGCACTGCAGTTCATCGTACGGGGAACCGTTGAACTTCGCTCGCAGCAATCGGCGCGGTTTCCCTCAAGCACAGCTCCTGTGTCGTGAAGGTAACAGATGTTGGAAGAGATGACAACATTACAAACATAGAGGGAAGCTCCTCCGCCCATCAGGGAGCGGCAAGTAGAGACACTGGGGGAATTGCGGGTGGTAGGCAGGCAGCTTGGAGTCCATGTGCTACCACTATTGAAAAAGAGGAGAGCAGGACCAGAATGGGGCAGAAGTTGGTCTCTCCGACCCACCGGCAAACCGGTATTGGAGACAGGGCCAGAGATACTAGCATAGGAGAATCCTCCCATAGACAGAATGTAGCCGCGGTCTTTGACCGGGCAGGCACCCAAAGAGGCTTCCGTCATGAGGTGTACGTGGAGCGAATTGATCAGGATAGAGCATACTTCAGCGATGTACGGGTACGAAGTCCAGTGGTAGACAAGCCATACTGCCATTCACCCTGTGAGCAAACAGCAAGAGGACGGAGGAGCCAGACATCTGGGAGCACGCCTTCCCCCCAAAAGGTTTATTTGTTCTTCGCAGAAGGCAGGAAGAGGTGCATGAGCAATATACCTTTGTGGACTGCTACGGTGGCCACACCCGGTGACTTCTGCCCCAACGTACGAGTAGGACGAGGATCGAAACGCCGGGCAGGTTCTTGCCGACGCCGTTTTTGGGGTGCGTACTTCGCCAGAGTGGACGGCATAAAGCCATGTCTACACGGCATAGTGCGGTGGAGTTGCATGGTATTCAGATCGGGCGGTAGTTGGCCATTTGCGGTAGTAGGCGGATGGTTGTGCGGCAAGACAGCCGGCAGGGAAGAGAAAACCAGGCAGGTAGGTGATGCTGCCTTTTGCGTACGAGTCAAGGAGTTAGCAAAACCATGTGACGCCATGGATTCCTGTGGCGTCAGTCCAAGGCTTGTGTTGCCTCCGAGTTAATAGAGAAGGAATTGTTTGCAGGTGGAATGGCGAGGACATTGTGACTGCACACTCGAAGGACCAGGGGATCTACCAGCGTTCTTGGGTTTCTTGCGCGATCTAGCAAAGTGTAAACCTATTGTCCTAACCTGCGCAGGCGACCTCAGTGCCGGTCTGAGGACAGCCCCCAAATGTAGTGAAAAGGTGGCCTACACTGTTACTACGATAGATCCCTAGGTTAGACAGAATAGGTGCACACGCTACTATCTCGCTCATAAACCCATGATTCTCCCTGAAACCACTAATAAACACCGCAAACAACCAAATATATGATCGAAGTCCTATTATTGTTCCCCAAGGAAAACCCAGAATAATAGAACTGATCCCCGACCCTCGCCTAGGGCGTGGGCCAGGGTAGCAGCAACAGCCTCGCACCCAGCCCCAAGCTGGTGCCGGCTGGCGACCATTCTGATCCTATGAAGTGTCTTCCCTATCTAAAAGTCAGGAA